CAGGTGGAAACACACCAACTGACTAATAATTTGCAGCTAATGGCTGCGCACTACGCTTTGCAGGTCTTACTCCAGCTTTCCATCAGACATGAAAGCATTGCAAAACGGTCACAAAACGGCAAATAGTGAACGGGTTCCTGTCTGATAGCAAAGTGTAATGTTCTGGATGCGTCCCAGAAGAGAAGATTACATTTCGAGTCTATTTTTTACGCTCTATGCTTCGAAAACACGTCAAACTCCACAGTTCAGACCAGGCCAGACAGGAAATCAAACAGGAAAGCAATATAAAATATCTGGAAACTTTCAAAATAAAAGTCATGTGCAGATTAACGTACTTCATTTCCTGTGAAACCACCGTACCCGATGTAAACAGAACACAAAATAAACCACAGACCTTTTTGGATACATGCAACTGTCCTTGCTTGTTATTGTGTGGACGTCTGAAATCACGCATGGCGTTGCAATTCTCCCATGATTTAGTGAATTTGCGGGACAGGAGTAAGTGGTGTTGGTAGCACTGTTGCCTTTTTGAGTGTAGTTAGCATGCTCTCCTCATGCATGTGTGGGTTTTCTCCAGGTTTCTTTTCTTCCAACAGACTGAAAACACACACGTTAGGTGAGTCGACTGCATTTTTCTACTACAAGTTTCTGTGAATAAAAGCATCCACAAAACAAATAAGCACAATAGTTCATTGTAAACAAGCTCAAGCTGGACACTGGACATTCTTGTTTTTAGCCTGTAATCAATAACAATGAAGCTCATTTTCCCTTGACAGTTTATTCCATCATGTTCTGACACATTTACATTATAGAACCACTCTTTATGTTTTAATGTGACATTATTATAGAAGCCTTGCATTGACTTTGTGCCGCATGCAGAAATAAATAACCAGTTGACCATAGAGTTATGGCCTGTCACCCTCCGAGTTTATATCAAACTTCCTGGATTAGTACTTCATTTGCATAAATAAACAATGCATTGATTTTCCGAGTCTCTTTCTTCACGGCATTTGGAAAAAGAACTCGTATACAGCTCTTTGTAATATTCAGCATCTTAGATGAGCTGTCAGTGTTAGGAAGCAGCAAATATTTATTGTGTTTATGTTGTTTGTCTGGTGAAGATTAGTTTGAGTCTCCCGCTAACAATTCCTCTACTGGCCGATAAATCCCACGTTTAACAGCTGATGTAGATTTTGCCCCACAGTGAGATATGGGATAGATATAAACGCCTTGAAATGATTGTCCACACACTGACACAAGCCTCTCCTGTCATTTACCTCTCAGCTCTTCCCATTTGTTTTATTTGATTGTTTTCTCATCCTCAAACAAGACAAAGATGGCAGCTATTTTAAATGATAGTTAAACGTGGGGCGCTCTGCACTAACAAACCATCACAGCTGACAGGTATTTATGGCTTGTTTTGCCATCTGGGAAGCTGTGTGTGTAAATGTGTGAGTCTCCAAGGTTTTTGCAGAAGTCCACTCATCAGCTGCACAGTTTGGAGGTGGCAGCTTGATGCATCACCCTCTTTACAATGCTCTATGGATGATCTGTTATATTGGAGGTTTTATATGTTTGCAGTGCCGAGGGGGCAGGAACGATCTCGTTGTCTTCTGCATTTTAAAACTGGTGGCTTGGATCTTTTTGGGTTAGGACGCTCAGCCGCTGGCGTGAATGCAATCCTCTGAACTCTGGTGTGATTTTTCCTCTAATTCACAGACTTGTATGAAAAATAAACCAACATGCTGCACCAAAGGAGGCTTGATCCCTGCAGGCTGCAGGCTAAAGCCATGCACACATTCCACTATCTGCTTGTCTGCCTGATGAAAGCAAAACTTTCTGGTTGTTTCTGTCTTCTTGGAAAATCTAAAAGTTGGGTTGAATTTCTAAAATAAAATACATACAACAAAGGGGACATATCCTGCAAAACTCACCTTTTTCATCCTTTAGTGATGCTATATGTTGATGTCTAAAGCCTCCTCTCTATCAGACATGATAGCATCGCAAAACGGCTGTGAAACGTGCTTTGCTGCAATTAGCAGCCGTTGTGTTCTTTTTGTAGATTTTACTCTGCAAACATAAAACAGGATTCCCATTATAAGCTTTATAAATAATCTAACTAGTCTGGTCAAATTACCCACAGCTTCATGTCAGGTGTAACTCTAAACAGTGCATGATCTTTTCTTGTTTGTTAAATAACTTGTTTCATGTAATTGTGATTCTAGAATTTCATTTAATCTGCTGAAATTTTTTGTTGCCAGAAAATGAAACGTCTACAAATGATTGATCAGAAGTTATCCTGCCTTAAAAAAAACCTAAAAATATCAGTTTTGAAAACCTTTACATCGGTGGACTTGATGTTTTTATTTGTGAGTCCGTTTTCTTGGCTGAGAAAGTAAAAAATGGTCTGTATTTAGCACCTTCTTAGGGTTCTCCAACCCCCCAAGGCACTTCACAACACAATCAGTCATCCGTCCATTAACACACACACTTTCACACGCTGGTGGGGATGAGCTACAATGTAGCCACAGCTGCCCTGGGGCGCGCTGACAGAGGCGAGGCCTGCTGAACGCTGGTCCATCTGACCACCACCAGCAGGCAAGGTAGGTTAAGTGTCTTGCCCAAGGACACAACAGCAGCATTCTCTGGTGGGAGCCGGGATCAAACCTGCAACCTTCCTTTTACTGGACAACCCACTCTACCTCCTGAGCTACTGCTGCCCCTTGAAAGTAATCCAAACTGTCCCTTTAATATCAAGCGTTTATTTTCAGTACTTCGTGTCCTTTTTTTTGTTTTCGTGGCATGTATTTTCACCACAGCAGGGACCGTTATGAGCTTGTGTGCCACGGAGCAACAGCTCTGACCGGACATGTCTCCATCTCTGAGAGACAACGGATTCTTTAAATAAAATGTTTCATCTGTACAACAACAAAAAAAATAAAAATCACATTCTGTGATTTGATTTGGTTTCATGACTCATAATGATCCTGATCCTTTAATAAGAGCTCTATTGTTACTGACCCGTGGTCTATTTCCAGATAATCAAAAGTAAGGTTACCACAGAGTCTGATCAAAAGGGGATTTCCTCCAGCGTGCATGTTGCTTTGCTCAGACGTAGTTTGCAGATTAAACTGCTGCCTCCCAGCTGATCCGCTGCTATTGCTTCAGGTAAGTTGGCTTTTCTGCTGTAATCAGTTGCAGACGAGGACTTCTGTGTACAAGGCTGTGTGTCAGGGTGACCTCATGCACGTGAGGAGAGAGTGAGCGAAGCACAGGGCAGCAGAGACCGGGGACGCAAATCCTCACATAGATCAGGGTTTGTGCACTGGGTTTGGGAAGCTGTCGTAACTCAGAGCTGAATCAATTTGGGAGTTTTAATGGTCAATATTCCCATTTTTTACTATTTGTCCTGTAGGGTTAGGTTGTTTTTTTTTAGTTTATTATTGAAATACTTTCAAGTGCGCTTCATTTTGAAACATTATTCATCTTAAAACTACAAAAAAAAACTACACAGGCCATGGGTGATGATGTCATCACGGCAGAGACATCAGTCAAAGCACACAGATAGTTAAAGACATTTTTTCGAGTACTTCACTGTCAATTTACTTGTGTCGCAAGAGGAATCCGAGTTCTGGTATCAGACATCCCCAGACCTCCTTCTCCTCAACTGACTTCTTCATATAATCTGGAATTACTCTACGGGATTTCTCGGATATAATCTCACCAGCAAACCCATGTTTTCTCCTCCCGAGGGGACATATCGAAAATGCCTCCCTTAAAGTGAGCAGTTTCCTGCTCCTCCGCCCTACTGGTTGAAAGTGGAATTACAAATGTTGTAAACAACCCTGCTGCAGCCTGCTGTAGCTAGTGCTAACAATGAGCTAGCTCTAACATGAAGTAAAAAGATTCACACTGTTGGACAAAAAATATTATTTCTTACAAGTCCAGTAGCAACAAAGCTAGGCCACCATCAGTCTGTGATTTTGTAGCCTCCTTCAGCTCCCCCAAACTAGTGTGTGCCAATGTTAACTCTGGTGTTAGCTCTTTGCTTCACCTCCAAAGATGTTACTCTCTTACTTTTACTTCCAGACTCCACCATGATAACAAAAGAAAAAGCAAACTTGTTCATTTTCTTCTTCTTGTGCTTTTTATTGACAAACATATACATGCTAACTGCTAGCATGACAGCTAACAGCTGTAAAGCAAGTAAAGAGTGCCTTCAAGGACACCTACCTGAAAGCAGGTTTTGGTCAGTAGAGGACAAACTATCTATTGTTACTGTAAACCACCTCATCTGGCTCCTGTCGATGAGAAGCAGCAGAGACCCCAATCTTCCCATGACTAAGAAGGTTTTAAAGCCAGCTGGCCAATCAGTCAGGGTGATTTTACACACATATGAACACAAATTGTCCTCTTTTTATCCTATAAGGACTAAATAGAGGTTTTAATGGTGTGATTCCTGCTGCAGAGCTCCTTTACTTTAACCTTTTGCTTCTCTGAGTAGTTTAAGTATTTTCGTTAGGTTTTCAGGGTGAAACTCTTCTCGGGGAGTTCATGAATACGCCCCGCTTCATCTCACTCATCTCCCCTGACCTTCTCAAGCTTCTGCTGCTCATCTTACACGTTTTCCTTGGCCCGCCGTCTCTCGACCTGTGGCTGTCAGCCCGCATTTTTCAGCCTCTGTTGACACAGATGAACAGTCGCGGCGGGCTACTCTGTGGCTCCCCTCTCCACTTCCTAATCCATTTGCATGATAGCATCTATTTTCCTTTTGCTAGAAAGAGCTTTGTTATGATTTCAGACATAGAGAACATTTCTGCATATTTACTAAATTAGGAGCCAGAGGTCCCTCCTCACTGAAAAAGCAAAGCATAAAAGGCCGGGGTTATAAGAATATGATAAATATGCGACCAGATTTTTCCCCATAACCTAATCATAGAGATGTAATAGAGCCATATTGCATTCTTGACAGTAAATTGTGCTTTCTTTCTCCTTTACAGGTGCTTTCAGTGCAGATGTGTGATGTGGTGAATGAAATAGAGCAGGAGAAGGAGCGCTGTGAAAATAGCACCTCTGGGAACGTCACTTCAGGTCCTTTTTTAAAATTATATTCTAATTTTTCTGCTTGTTTGGAGGCAGCAGGAGGCTATTTAGTGGAAGTAAAAGGCAATAAAAGTAAGTAAATAAATAAATAGGGAGGATCATTTTTAGCAGGTGGTACTTTGGCGATAAAACACTACAAGCCATAACAGGGCGCATATTTGCTTAGAGGAGGAATTTACTCAGGACCAGGTCTTATTATAACATTTCAGTTCAATTTAAAACAGAAATTAAGCCACACACTCAAACATAATTAGCAAGTCCTAAATATTTAGCATAGGCTTTGTTTTCTTGGAGGGGACACAAATGTAGCAGCATAGAAGTTTTATAATAGAACAATGTTAAAGAGTAAATTCAAAGATTACAATCTTTTTTATTGGTTTCATTTCTGTTGTTGACATATGCAACACATCCTTTCACCGAGAAAACTGTATTTTTTCACTAGGTTTTCACCATTAAACTAGAGTGCTAAGCAATCCTATATATGTAAATACTATATAGGCTGGCCACGGCCCTTTGATAGGGGCTGGTTCCAGAAAGGTGCACGTTCTCACTGACTGAAGAAATAAGCATGCTTACAGCCTGGTTACGATGAAATATATATGTTTTAGGTTTAATAGAACTAGTTCACTGTCATGACGAGTCTGAGGGGGTGAATTTTTTATAACTCATCCGTTTAGATGTAATGAAAGCTTGAAATGATGATTATTTAGCGGCGTGTCCTTTTGATTGACAGGTAGCGGATGAGCCGCCAGCGCTAGTGCTAGCGACTTGCCCACTGCTTGTTCAAGGAAATGTGTCAGCCTCACGTTAAAAGTCTTACAGCTTAGAAAGCAGAAGGTAGCAGAGTTGCTCAACCGGTATTTTATGGCTAAAAGCGCCAGCCGACCTCCGTTAGCTTGTGTTAGCGGAGTTAGCTCGTAGTTACATCATCTCAGAGTTTGTTGGGTGTCAATCATCTGCCCCACCCTCACAGCCCGGCTTGCAGCTCCGTTTTTGTATTTTCTGGGATGAAGAGAACTTCCCACAGGACTTCAGTTCCCTTCAGAAACCCACGTGTGATGGTGCCATTATTTCTACAGTCACTTAGTAGTGGGGCACAATCAACAGTTGTCTCTAAACGCAACTGGACAGCGCTAGGACCAGTCAGAGCAACGGACAATGTAAGGCTTTTGCTAAATAAAGGACTTAAGTACCTCTATCTGCTCATGTCTCCAGGAAAAGTCCAAATAGTCCAAGGTTGATGCCAAAGCCATTTCAAATGAGCATCATTCCTGAGCTACTGCCATCTTTGTAGTTTTTCTTTGTTGTATCTCGCCCAACAACATCACTCTACAAACATAAAGCGATGTGATTGGCCAGAGCTCAAATTGTTTGGTCCAATGGTAGACTTGCCGAGGCTACAATGGAGCATGGCTAGACCGACCTGCAAACCAAAGTCTTCCGTTACTGCTATGGTTGGTCTAGATTTCTAGGCTAGCATTAAACAGTTTTTGCACAAATTTAAAATTATGGTTTTGAGATTTTTGAAGCAGGATTTCTGTTGGGTTTCCAGTTTATGCAGGTGAACATGCCTCTGACTGACCTCTGACCTTTCAGATTCCAGTCTAACTGACACCTGCTCATAGATTATCTAAACTGAGATTGCCCTGGCTGCGTTCTACTGAAGGTACCTACAAGTGAGAACACTGTTCCTCAAAATTAAAACTATTTCTTTAAATAAGCAGTCAAAGAGATTTTTATTCAGGAGTAAGTTCTCCCACTGGACTAATGTTCGAGTGTTCTCTTTTTGCAACGCTGCCTTGAAAACTAGTATGATGTGTAGGAACAGCACATTGTTTTCTCTCAATCCCATAATTAAAGAAAAAAACATGAATGGCCTTTTGATCGGTGCTGTGTCCATTTACTCTCATTCTAATAGAGTTCCTGCACATCCAGAACACGCAGTGCATTTTGCATCAAATGAATACATGAACGGATTGCATGAAAACACTTCGCTTATCTCTGCAACGGCCCTCATTTTTCTCCCGTCCTATCTGCTTCCTCAACAGGAAGGTTAGCTGAAGTTGCGATCTGAAGCCACATCCTGAACAAGTGAATTAGCTGAAAGCGCATCTATGATGAAACGCACGTTCACAACGTATGGTTGTGCAACATGTTTCAGCCGGCCTTTGGGTTGAGACAGAACAGGCAGTCAGTGTGAAGTGTTTATGTATGCTGACTTTAAATAAATCTGTCTCACACACACACACACACACACACACACACACACACACACACACACACACACACACACACACACACACACACACACACACACACACACACACACACACACACACACACACACACACAAACACCATTTGAAGTTATTGCACCGACTCAAAAACATCCTGAAGATTTTTCTTGTGCTCGGCTGAAAACTGTTAAATCTCCTGCCTTGGGCTTTTCAGAGATAGCTTAGTCACAGAGATCCTTTTATTTTTATTCCACACTTCTTTATCTTTACTGGGGTGTAAACAGTTGATATGCACTATTGTTTGCTGTCACAAGATTGTGACTTTCGTTTCATAATCGGATGAGATTAAAAAAAAATTACATTTCAGAAAGGTTTAAATGGAAAAACAATTTAATTTCTCTAAACCAAATCTCTCTTCAGTCACCTTAAAAAGCAACGGTTCAGGCGCACACGAGAACGTTTTTATACCTGAATATAAAAAATAATAACATTTCAAAAACTGGAACTTCTCAGAAATAATTTGCGACATGAAAAATGTCTGACCAAATGTTAAAGCTGCTGCCAGTGGCACATTATGGTCACCATGGTAACCACAGATCTGTAAAGCAAAGGCACAGCTAATTAAATACAGAGTTAGGAAACAGCTGTCATGCAAAATCGTAAAGAGAGTGTTTTACATAGGAGGAAAAACTATTTCAAAGACACTATTTTGCAGTTTTGAAGAGAGAAAATTCAAAAAATGCAGAAATTTAAGGCTTCCCACTCGAGTGCAGAGGGACTTAACAAGAAATAATAATATTGTTAGTACAAGGAGAAATATGTTTAGTCTTATGAATTAATTTGCTTTTATAAAGTTAATATAAAGACTTGTTTGTAAAGCTGTGAAAGCAACATATCCAGGACACTGTGGTGCAGTGAGTCATGTTAAACTCATCTTCATCATGTCATGGTCCTTAGTGTGTGTGTGTGTGTGTGTGTGTGTGTGTGTGTGTGTACGTCACAATGCAAGTGATGCCTCGTTTGTGTTGTTGACCTCTTTTTGGCAGGTTGCCAGGGGATGTGGGACATCATCGCCTGTTGGCCGTCAGCCAGAGTTGGAGAAGTGGTGACGATAACCTGCCCCACATATTTCAGTTACTTCAGCGACCAGCAGAGAGGTGAATATATAAATATGAGCATCTCATATCTGTGGATTGAGCTCATGGAGCACGGGGGCCTCATTTATGAAGTTTGGTTACACACAAAACATGGATCTGAAGTATATTTTGTCTTTTGTAAAATGTGTAAATAGAAGAAAAAGATCATTAAATGTGATTTTGAGGAAAGAAAAGATGATATAAAAGGCCGTACTAAAAAGTCACAGGTCATCCTGAAGATCATTTAACTCTTCAACCTCTATAATTTAAAAAAAACGTATCTTTTTGCATTTTTCACCAATAATAATCCACTTGGGCTATTTATGTCTTTTAATCGAATGTAAATAATAATATTAATTTATCAAGAGTGTTCAGCATTTGAATGAACCGTCTCCACATTTTTTAGATTTTGTGTTGTAGTTGTTTCCTTTTTGCTATTTCAGGGACCAATCGAGTACTTGAGCTGGGGTGAGTACATTGAAATGGCCCTGTAGAGTTGATGGGCGGGACTTGTGGTTAACTCATGCTCACTGGTTGTAACTCAGTGGGAAATGGTTTCGGCAGACGTTGGATGAGTTGCTGGTGAAGCTGAACAGAAAGCAGCGTTGCTTCTGCTTTAATATAGCAGCTTCCAAATTCCCAACGCTGAAACACACACACACACACACACACACACACACACACACACACACACACACACACACACACACACACACACACACACACAATGTATTTAGGCTATATTGTTGTCTCCTGTAAAAAGCATAATTTCTTCTTATCATTAATCGCCACTTTTACATCACACAGCCACTTTCTCGTCCACCAGCTGGATACGATAACGGCGTACTTTGACAGAATAAAAATGCCTTTTGGCGTTTTTCTGTGACCTCACTCACTGCCAAGATGGTGGCGTTATGCTGACTTCTTAGCAAAGTCCTTAAAGGGCCAACTTTATATGGAGACATAACAGCTGAGAGGACTAAGCCATCTTATTTTCCCTTTCACCTTCCCCCGTCCAGAAATTTCCCCACACTACTGTAGTGGAAATGCGGCTATAGGGGTTAAATCGTACTGACCTGCCAATTACGGCCTAAAACATTTGTAAAGGAGCATTACCTATTAAAAGGGCGTCACATGTTTTTGTAGGTAAATGTAACTTAGTCTTCATATAAATAAATCTAATTAAACCTCCTCAGAGTGTAAATGATAATACCGTGTTTTGACCTTTGACATGGAATAAAGTTAGGCCAAGTGACCGATTCTTCGCCATCTAAAGGCGTTTTTAGACTTGATGGCGTTTCTTGTGATCCTCACAATGAGAAATGTGATGAAACGTAGCTATCAATGGCACAAAGGATACAAGATAGTGCATTTGCTGTTGGGTTTACGTTAAAAGAACAAAATCATAGAAATTAAATAAACAACTTTCAACAAGAGGACATTTTAAACTAATTCTTTTTAACAGAAAAAGTTATTTTGCGTTTACTAAACATGGCGTCTTTGGCTTTTCCAACATTATTCTGCACATTTCTGACTTATCATCTAAAAGTTAACTTTAGTATATAAATATTTAATCTCTTAATGTCGATTCTCATTAACCTTTTTCCAAAAATTTTCCCTTTTTTGGTGCATTTTCCTTGTATTTGAATTGAAGAGCCTTGACTAGGCGTGGGTGTGCTCTTTCACCTTTGGTCGGTGTGAAAAGCCTCTTGAACAGCCTGTAAAATCTCCCTGGAGCTATTTGCTCATTGTGCATTAGCACCTCCAAGGGTCAAACTGTGAATTAGAAAACCATGAAACGTGACACTGTGAAAAAGCAGGGTGCCCTTATATGGGCGTCAACAGGGGTTGTCTGGTGGTTTCCAACGATGGTCCAACATGGGTTTGCCCAGATGTGGAGTTGTTTGTCAGGACCCAAATGCAGGGGAGAGCTTTATTTGAAAAATGTATCTAAATAACGGCAGGTAAGGTGACACGAAGGGAAGCCAAGACAAGGATCTGACACAGACTGGGGTTTAAATACATGAGGGTAATCAGGGAAACAGGTGGGTGAGGTAGCGATGGCCAGGTGAGTTCGATCAACTCTAACGAGGGACACGAGACACCAGGAGCAGATCCTGACAAGTAGATGTTTGCCCACATAGATTTAAACTGGCCCTACATGGGTTATCAGAGGAACCCATGGTATGACTCATACATGGGCCTGTTAAAGTCTATGTGGAAAACCCTGTTGGCACCCATACGGTTTGCCCATATATATCCATAGGAGGACCACCTGCATGCTGGCTGTGGTGTATTCGATGACAGGGAAGAAAAGGGTGACTTTACAGCTAAAGGAACGTAAACTACGTCCCGTTTCAGCCATGGGGTCAAAATGTGAGCGTTAAATCTATAAACCTCACATCTGTTCAGAAATTCAACTTTCATTTATTTTTTTATTTTTTGTAATGATTTTATAGTTTATCTCTTACGTTTTTCTACTAGACTTTTTCTTTGTTAAGTGTTAGCTATGGATGGTATGGTAAGTATGGTAATATTTCAGACTTAGAGTAAAGGTAATATAAAAGAAGAGATCTGATCAACAAAGTCAAATAGGTTAACTTTTAAAAAAATTACGTTAGAGCTGTGTAGCTTCAATTAATGAATCCTAATTAAAGACTTAATTTATAATCATCTATCAAATACATAATTTCCGGATATTTCAAATAAAAAAGTCATTCTAATATCAATTGCTCAGATCTTACTGAAATGTAAAGCTACTTTTGCTGGACATTTAAATTCAATCTCAATTTTCCTCTAGTTCAAAGAGACTCTCTGCAATTTTTTCATATTTTTAAATAGTTTTCTTGAGCCAGTATGTGCTAAAATGACCCTTACAGGATTGATGAAAGGCCTCCCAACCCCTATCGCCCCCTGTGCCCAAAATATTCCACTTGCAGCTTCAGAGTTGCCAGTCTGGTCTGTTGGATTGAAGAAAAAATGGAGCTGGCATACCTGGCGCTGCAGTCTGCTTCCAGAACATTTCATGAACACAACTGATTTGTTTAATTTAGTGATGAATCACTCCCGTAGACACTAATGAAGGCTGGGGAGACATTTCAGCTGTTAGACAAAGATGTTAAAAAGACAAACCCACAACGAGGAGATATGTTTTGCTTTCTGTTCTACAAATGGGCACTAGGGGGTGCTAAAAGCAAGCCAAAACTGCCTAGTTCCCTTTAAACTAATATTTTTTATGAACATTTCCTACTCAGGAATATATTTACCATTTTACCACTGACTAATTGAGAAATCAAATATCAGTCAGAATGTTTGTAATAAACTGTTGATCTTATTAAGCAATAATCATCATTTATGTGACGTGTTTTATTCCTAAAAAATGTAAAACCTGCAGTGTTTTTATGAAGCATAACATTTCCCAAGACTATGAAAGTACATTTGTGACGTGATTCTTGTTTCAACTCTATTGTAATAATAACTGTAATGACAATAATTGGATGAGAGGCCCTTAAAAAGTATTGGATTAGTCATTTTTAAGTGCTTAAAACTTTCATTATTAGACTAACCTTACTAAAAGCTTTGCTGTATAACTTTAGAGCTTTCTCAACCTCAATGAAGCTATTTTTTTTTTTTTGCCATGAGTGTGTCAGATCAGACAACGACTCATGTTATTGTAGATAACTACTTTACTTAAGGAAATTAGATGAATTATACCTCATAATGAGTAAGAACAGGGATAGTGCGGATGAGAGGTTACCGAGCCACTTGGAAGTAGGAGAAATGTTTTTGATTAAATGTTTTTTTAACCATTAAACTAGTTTTATTCTTAAAGTAAAATACTATCAAAAGTAGGCAAAAACTCAGTTAACTTGGTTTTTTGTAAAATTCCATTTTTTATTGTTTAGTTCATGAGATATCAGTAAAAAATGGGCATTTTTTATAACAATATCAAACTATTGACATAATCTATCTCTCAATTTCCAATCAGTGACTGTAGAAATAGAAGAGATGCTGATATGAACCAATACCAATATATGCAGGGCTACCCCCACCCATTAAAAATTGAACAAATAAATCAACTTGGGTAACTAACATCACATATCTCCTATTGTGCATAATAAAACTTTAGATGTGCTAACTATATACTGCTCCTCCCTGAATGAGATGATGAAGTGGACTTTTCCTGACATGCTTGACCTCTAAAACATGCAGCTAGCGTGCTTGAAGCAGACTGCAGCTAGCCTGGCCTGCCAAACTCGCCCTCTCTCTATTCTACACAGAGAATGAGTCTGGATACTCAGAGGCAGAGAACTCCAGGAAGGATGGGACTAGCCAGCTCAAAAATAACCAATCAGAAAGAGGCGGAAATGATGACTGTATCGTGCGACGTTGTAGATTTTTAGCTGTAGTCAAAGATGGCATCTATTGACGGCGCAAACTAGCGCTTCTTCTTGTTGAAGTTTTAAAAACATGTCCAAGTAATTTAGAACAGAGGAAAGAACCGCAGCTAAAGCTTGGTTTATGCTTCTCCGTCAGCTCTGCAAGGGACAGACACGCACGGATTGACGGAAGTGTTTTGCTCTCATACTTCTCCGTCTCCTGGGGAGTGTTGCAAAGCAATTGCCCGGCAGGACAACAGAGGGCGTAGCGCTGTTCTGTGGTATCCTGCCATGTATCGGTCCAAGATCGTGTGTTTATATTTTGTTTTTTGTGTATATAAGAGACTTTTAACACGGACATATTTGTCTCTCATTCTCCCACCGCTTCATGCTCTCCCCACCTATAAACCCACGTTTCCTGTAATTTCAGTCCACAAATAAAACGCTTGCTGCGCATCTTTTCACTCCTCCAGTCACGGGAGGATGAAACGTTCATATTTTTAGAGTTTTTTCGCGAGGTATTCTTCAAGCTTCTCCGTGTCTGCCGCTAGTTATCCTCGGCTCTCTTTGCAATGGCGGCGCTGTAAACAACAGCGGCATCCTGTCCAATCACAAGCTTGCATAATCCGTCTTGTTCGACGGATGTTTAAAAAAGTGGGCTCGACTCCGTACGTACTTGCGTGCCCTACGCAAGGACGGATAATGGCGTTGCGTGTCTCCGCACTGACGCAGACGGAGAAGCATAAATCAGGCTTAACTCTGCTTCAGACGCCATTGTTGTTGTTCATTAGAAACTGAGCGGCGTGGTGTGTGATGCACACTGCTCAGCGCTGATTGGCTCGGTTAGAGTTCTCAGGGGGTGGGGTTATTTGAATGGGAGGCCCTTTGCTTCCCATAAGGAAGCATTGGCATGGCTGGCCAGGCTAGACCGCAGCTCCACCATGACAGCTTCACTCCACTACACAGCTCCCTCCACCAGCAGGGAGCGGCCCGGCAACCTTGAAGTTGCAAATGCGGTATTCTGCCCACAGAGGGCGGTTTGGGCTGAGTGACATTTCATTAACACGTACTGGCTTAAAAAATTATTTAAATAATACAAATTTGGATTATATCCCTTTAAGCTATGAACATTCCATAAATGTCACAAAAGTAATTTGCACATAAAACAGATGTGCAATCTCTTTGTGGATTCAAGTTTTCCTAAACATCTGTTTGAAAAAATAAATCAGACTTCCAATTAGCTCCATAAATTCTGACATTTACTCTTACTGCAATATTAATTAAATTAGTTTAAATGTCACTACTCAAATTTATCAATGTCTTGTAATATTAATAATTCAATTTTTTCCTCCTTAAATGTCTCATTAATTAATCTCAACGAACTTTGTCTGTTCAGAAGTCCCGCCATCTTGTTTTTTAGTGTTACTGCATGCTTCCCATCTTTTTGTCTATTTAGGGAAAGCGTCTGTTTCTTTGTGTGATTGTCTTCGAGGTCCTCGAATTCAAGAACATTTAGTTCAATATCACTTCCATTCAGGGGAATTGTGCACAAAAATAGTCAGTTTGTCAAGAGCCGTCCTGCAGACATGAGCAGAAACAGAATTAGATTGCTTTCATGAACTAAATGTTGCAGAAATGTAATATTCTTTTTCCTTGAACCCACAACAGGAAGGATCGTGTTTTTGATGTGATGTGGAAGGTTATAATCTCGCAGCTCTGTGGGATTTGAAGGCAGCACAACCTGAAACCCTTCAGTAGGTAGATTCAAAGCAAACCAGGTGAACGTGGTGCTGCTTTTATGCACTCAAAACAACTCGGGAAGGAAGTGGATCAAAGCGTAGGACTGTGACAGAAGCACTAGGTTTAGCATCTTTTTGATGCAATTCAGAATACCATTAAAGTCTACTGTCCTGTAAAATCCTCTCCTAAACCTTCCCATGGGCATTTACTGCTCTGCAAAAAAACATTCTGCTGTACTTGTAGTTGTGATGTTAAACTACCGACTGATTGTTATTTTGAAATTTGCACTTATTTTCTTCCACATTGAGTGTTATTTTTTTCTTTTGGTTGCATGTAGTCAATGCATGCAACCAACATATAAAGTGCTCTTTGCCTCTAATTTACAAAGTATTCATGAGTTGGGCTCTGATTAGATCACTGCATGGTGGCGCAGTGGTTAGCACTGTTGCCTCGCAGCACGAAGGTCGCAGGTTCAAAACTCGCCTTTCTGCGTGGAGTTGCGTGTTCTCCCCATGCATGCGTGGGTTTCCTCCGGGTACTCCGGTTTCCCCCACAGATCACAACATGCCCTATAGGTTATAAAAATTGTACGTCGCTTTGGATAAAAGCGTCTGCGAAATGAATAAACATAAACATAACATAATTATTGAAAAACAATATTTATATTCTTCATTGAGGCTTAATTGACAGGTAGCTGAAAACCTATTAAAACTAACACAGTTCTGCCATTTCTCTTTATTCCCTTGGGCTAAAACAGCTCAGTCAGTGCCTGATACAGATTTTAGAGAGCAGAGCATGACTTGGTGTTCAGAGAAGAAGAAATCCACTCGTCGTGTTTATCTCCTCACAACTCCAACTTTAAATCCGGCTGCATTAGCTGTTCCTTGAAGGTGAAAACTTTTTGCTTCTGGCAACACATTCTGATCAGAAGTCCCTGTGTTCTCTGTAAGAGAAGAGACTGGTTTTATGAAAAAGTTACCCTTTTCTTTGATTTTTCTTATAATTTTGTCATTATTCATTAACTTATGAGGAAATAAATTTGATTTAAAAACAGTGATTGTGTCTTGTTTCGACCCTGGTTACCTATCTGACTGATGAAAGCAGTGAGGCTTCCTATTTTTATTGAAATCCTTTTCAATTAAATAAAAAGTGAAACTAACAGAGAGATTTTAAAGAGCAAGTCACCCCCAACCAGAGTATTACTCCACTCCCACTTCCTGTTCGAAAAATGCAATAACTGTTGTTGCCCAGCAGATTGAGAGGGCAGAGCTGCTAACAAATACACACACACACACACAGGCTCACAACGACATTGTGACATCATATGGTACCAGCTAACGTTCTAGGGTACCACTTAGCTAATAGCGATGGCAGATTTAAATTCAAATGCAGTGCAGAGTTTTTACCTGACAACGGCACATCACTGACAGTTTTAGGCAGAAAATTAAAATTTTAACTAAAATGCACTAGAGTGCTAAACTATTGACTACACGTGCCTGCAGCACAATTAGACATGCATTTATATAGTTTATCAGAAAAAAACTGTTGATTTGGGGGTGACTTGCTCTTTAAATGACATCACATCAGTTCTCGGTAGCCTGCAAATATTTTTTTCTTATTTTCTCAAAAGAAAGTGCTGTATTAGCCTGGCAAGCTATCCAATATGTGTAAATATATTACCAGACTCAGTGGTAGGGGCAAAATCTATAAACTGTCCTTGCACGCATGGGGACAGCACTAGGAGTAAGACCAATCAAAGCAATGAACAAGAAGAAGAAGAAGAAAATATCATTTCTATAGCGCTTTTCAAGATAAAAATCACGAGGCGCTTCACAAAAACAAAAATTGTAAAAATTTAAAAAAGCATTTAGAAAATGTTTAAAAATATATTAAAATGAGCAAAAATAGGCAATTGTGATTAAAACATGCTAAGAAAGAGAGAGAGTGAACAGGAAAGAGGGACATTCATATTGGAATGCCTCACTGACTGATGGAAATCAGTCAAAGAGGAAGTCCGCCAAACAAAGTCAAAGAAGTACAAGAAGTACCTCAGTGCTCATGTTTTTTTTAAAGCCTCATTATTCCGTCACATCTCTGTCGGTGTTTTGTCTAACCACCATTTATTGTCAAATGGGCGTTTTACGGCATATGTCTATCTGACAGCACACATATACTGTCAGATCATCATGTATTTTTTAAGCTGTATGACACTTTAATAGGCCAACATGCCCGTCAGATCATGATACACATTTTTTAACAACCGTATGACGCGCTGACTTGTCAGTTTGACATTTTTTAAAGCTTTATTTTGCCAAAATATTTTTAGAATTAGAAGGTGGTAAAATAAAAATCAGTTAATTTTTTTGGATGGTAAAATTAACTGTGAATAAATTGTAAAACATATCAATGAATGTGTAGCCACTCAGTAAGGCATGTAAAAATACAAATACATTTTCCTTTCTCATACTTTGCTGTCTGTATGCGGAACTACGGCTCCTCTGAACATAGAGGTTCAGATGAATGTGCATGTGTGTGCATGCACATAAACTGCATGTATGCTGCTCTGATATGTATGTTGTATGGTCAGAACACCGATGCTAAGCCCCGTGATTGGATTGGCATAAACTTAGCCAAGCCAATGGTAGACCTGCTGAGGCTACAATGCAGGGCAAAACCTTTTTCTGCTGCTTCAGTTTGTCTAGATATCTAGGCTAGTATTACAGCATAGATGACGCAAAACCATAGAAAGTAGGTCAACAATAGAGATCAGGAGCGAAGTGCAAAGCTGCAAGTGGTAGTAACATAAAGTTCCTTGTTTGGGGCTGTAATCAAATAACTGAAATCAGATCAGGATATCTTTGGTAAAATACTAATGGGTTACTTCACTGATTATGATTTAACATTCTTCCTCACATTATTTTACATTTCTTATCCATTTTTCCTCTACTGATATCACTCAAGTGATTCTTAGACTTACAAATCAATAGTGACGAGTCAAACTGTGAGTTTGATATTTTCCTGAGCTTCGCTGTGATCACACAGATGGTGCCGAAGTGATTTTGAACTTGTGCTATTAAAAGAAAAATCTGTTGAATGGGAGTCTTTGACCTTTCCATTTCTACTCGCTCTCCAGGTAACCTCTCTAAAACCTGCACAGCAGACGGCTGGACTGAGATGCATCCTATTGACATCGCTGTGAACTGTGGATACAATCTGAACAGCACCAGCGATGATGTGAGTGTAAACTGTGACTAAAACTTAAGTAGCTGCACTCCAGGTCCTGTGGTGAATCAAAGCAGCAGGAGAGCATGTCGAAAACCAGTGAGCAGGAAGAGCTTAATGGGAGTATCTGCTTTTTTTCCTTTCTGGGTTGGTGTTTTGTGGAAGATGACTATTGATTTGCTGTATTTTAATCCTTATTGTGGTGTTGCTAGAAGTAAACAATTTACATTCTAAGTTAGTTTCACTTGGCTGCACATTGGTGATGAATTGAGAACAGCTTTCATGTGAGGGAGTTTCTAAGTTGTCTTGAAATGTTTGAAAAGGTTTCTCAGTGTTTTTGTGTGAGCATATTCAAAACGTGCATGCACAATTTTGTCTCACAGTGGTCACAGTCTTTGCATAACACAAGAAAGAATTGTGCACAACTGTAGCACAAATCTTCCTAGTTAGTTTGCTATTTCTTACTGAGCAGCGAATGACCAAGCCAGCAAAAACTATTCACAGAAGCATCATAAATACCAGTTGCAAATCTAATTGAGAATTTTCACATTTTCTCACCACTATTATGTGTGTCTCATGAGTCACGAATACAGAGAGACACCGATTGCAATGAGGCATACAAGGATTTGTTTAAGTTTTACTATAGATTTTTTTAAAACATGCTTATGAAGTTCTTTGCACTAAATCCCTCTCACATAAAGCAATCTTAATGGCTTTATTCTTGACATTTTCAGTACCTTCCAGATTGAGCTGTTTCATGAGTCTCTGCCACTTTAAGAAAACAAGCTAGAGCTGGCCACACCCACCCAACCAATGATAGACTAAAGCACATGTGTCAGACACAAGGCCCGCGGAGCATTTTTATGTGGCCCGCGAGATAAATATCAAAAATATATTACAACTGACTCGCTGGCCAATTTTACCACAAAGACCACAACTCCCATGATGCTTTGCGGCATTAGCGCGGAGCCAAACCGCCCCCTCCTTTGTGTTTTTTTCAATTACCTACAGTCGCCATTTTGCTGCAGCCAAGTACCTCTCGTTTTTTCCAGAATCTGCTGCCGGTGTGCAGCTCACTGTCTCGGACAAACTAAACACTCCTCTCACTCAGTGCCGAGTGAAAGAGAATTTTTTCCAACTAACTTCCAAACAGAGCTGATATAACTCCAGCAAGCAGTGACACGCTCAAATCAGCATGACTCTGTGGCTGCTGTCGTGTTTCCTCCCCGACACACAACAACGTGGTCAAGCTGCTCAGACATGTTCATCAGCACAAACCTATGTGAGCACCTGTTGTCATCCAATGTTGTCATTATTATGATGAAGATGAACAAAACAACAGGAGTCTCCTCCTCAGCTCAGATCAACTCCATGATGCAGGTATTTGGCTGGAACAGGTGAGCATCACAGTAAATCAGTGGAGCAAACTGAGCTTTAAATATTTTGGTTTTATGCTCTTTTTCTGCTCCAAAACATGAAAGTTAACAGGTGAGATGCTGCATTTTCATTTAAGATAAAATTATATTTTTATTTTGTTGTTGGTCCGTGAGAAAAGATTTAACCTACAGTAAAACAGGAAGTGGAAAGGCTGCAGGTAGATGAATAGAATAGAAAATCCCTTTATTGTTCCTCAGTGGGGAAATCTAGATGTCACAGCAGTGATGACACTTATTACAGGAGAAAAAAAGAGAATAAAAAAAGAGAAAAATGAATAAACAACAAGAAAACAGAAATCCTGAATAGATTTTAAAAATGTTGAATATACCACAAGTAATGAATACCACTGATGCGTTGTATTTAAAATTAACTTGCTCGTGTGTAATTTGGTTATTCCACATTCAGTGTTAATGCAAAAAAAAAGTTTGTTTCCAAATTAAAAGGTTCAAAACTGCATTTATGTTGATAAAGAAAATGTGTAAATTTGCCGTCACTTTTTCAAAAAATATTAAGTTTGGCCCGCGACTCCGTCCCAGATTTAAATTTCGGCCCCGTGTGAATTTGAGTTTGACACCCCTGGGCTAAATGCTGATTTATACTTCTCCATCAGCTCTAGTGTGGGATATCTGGGGTATCCTGCCATCATTACAGTCGTGCATCCGGTCCAAGATAGTGTATTTACTATTATGTTTATATTGTGTTTACATATTTCAGAGACTTTTTAAAATAGGCAAATTTGTCCCTCATTCTCCTTTAATTCTTCATGCAGTCGCCACCTCTAAACCCACATTTCCCGGCTTTTCCGTTCATGAATAAAATGCTTGCTGCATATCTTTGTACGCATTCAATCATGGGTGAATACATTTTCGAGCTATTTTCGTGAGACGTTCTTCAATCTGTTCCGTGTCTGCCACTAAATATCTTTTGCTATCAACTTTTTGAGAGTTGACAGTACTGACGATGAATTTAAAGGAAGCGGCGTCCTGACCAATCACAAGCTTACGGTCTCCGTCACTTTTGGCGAATAGTTAAAAAATGAGGCATGTCTCACCCTCGGCGAGCCCTTTCGTCAATGCATTATATCACTGAGTGTCTCCGTACCAACGCAGATGGAGAAGTATAAATTAGGCTTAAGAAGGACAGATATCCAGGAGAGGCTCAGAGTAGAGCCACGCCTCCTCCAGTCTGCAGAGTTGAGAGGTGGTTCTATGCTTACTTCCCAGTTTGTGACATCACAAAAAGGGTCTTTTTGAAACGGCTCATTTTAGGCACATAACCAAACACTGACAGAAAGCAGATGGGCAGGTTTTTTCACATTTGGACTGTATGTAGAGGCTTATAAAGGCATCATAGGACATTTTATTGTTGGAGAAACCTGCTACCGGAATATTTGTAAGTTTGTTGCTCTTATCACTAAGGCTTCTGGCTCCATATTTTTTTAATATGAAAAAGATTTCTTAATGGATAAACCAGATGCCGTTGTTGGATTTAGTAAATCATTCCCATGATTCCACTGCAGCAAATCAGATCGTTTTTGGGAATTGGATTTAAAAAAACAATGATGCATCAAAATCCCCCTTTTTTTTGTAACATTTCAACTAGTTTTTCCAGTCAGTATAAAATCTACTACAGATATAACGGTACCGTGTTTTTAGAAAACCTTTTAATCTAATTGTGCAAATTAAAGTTATGCACCTTCTTTTCGGCATTTGTGGCAAAATATGAAAAAAAAAAAAAAGAATTTAAAAAGCATGAAATGCCTTTCCTTATTGGACAGTCCACTGAGTTTGCACTTATTTCCCTATTTTTATTAATTGCAACATGCAGAATTTATTTATTATCTCTCAAATGAAAAAAAATTAGATTTTTTTTAACTTTCATTTAAAATTATTTTACAAAAAAAATCATGGTAAAACCAACAAATAGATTAAATAAGTGTACACAAACCTTCTTTATCAATAAAAAAAATCTGTTCAATTAAACTGATCCAGTCACATCTAAATCTGAGCATTTTACTTATTTTGCCCAGAGGTTGTTTACTCATTTCTTTTGTAATTCTGAAGATATTTATTATTTTGAACAAATGAAAATACCCATAAGTCAACATTCATCATGATTTGCTGAAACAACCTTGAAGCGCAACACTCCTGCTTTATGAGAGGCTATTTATGATGCCTCCAGGAGCATAGGCGTCATTTTAACCGGGGACGCCGGGGACATGTCCCCGGCAAAATTTGTGATTGGCAGCTGTGTCCCCCCCACTTTCAAAAAAGCCTGTCTTTATTGTCCCCAGCAATTTTTAAACCCCACTCAAGTGTATGGTTATTGTCCCCAGCAATTCTGAAAACAAACTGACGCCCTTGTCCAGGAGTGGGAATGAAATAAATACATAAAATGTTGCCTAACTTATGCCGGTTTTACTGCAGAGAGCTAATCTTGTCTCTGTTGATGAAGGTGGAGCAGGGTGAAGAGTGGATGAGCACTACACAGCAGTAAAAGCTTTCTTCGTGGGCAGTTGGCACTCTGAGTCACAGAGGCAGCCTCATTAGTATGCCACATAGGAATTCAATAAGACATCGAGAGAGTCAGGGACTCTAAAAGGAATTTGATGTCCCCTCCCTTGCATATGAGATGTCTTTGTGTACAACAAGATGTAGAACTTCGACTCTCATTTTCATCTAAAAAGTACAGAACCATGACATTGAGGCAGGAGCTGAATCCAGCCTTTTCTACAATCCACTGATGTCGTAGCTGGATCCATTTGGAAGTAATTGCAGCAATTCAGGAATCCCCAAAATTCCCCATAAGGTTAAAGTGGTAGTTCTTAGCTTTTGAATCATGGTTCTGTAGCTAAATTATTCTGCATGTTCTCACGACCTCGGACTGGGGAAAGAGAGTTTAGTTCTGACCAGATTGATGAGCTAACAGCTAGTCGGGGGAGGTTCCATTCAAAAACAGACAGTTCCCATCTCAAAAATCTATTTTTAGCTGTTTTTACACCTTCACTTTGCGTTGATTAGATGTTTATTCTGGCAGAAATGTTATTTTAGATGGGGAATGCTAAAGCTAGCTGTTGCCCTATCTCTAAAGGGGAGCCCAGCCACCCTGCGGAGAAAACTCATTTCGGTCGCTTGTATCCACAATCTCGTTCTTTCAATCAAAAGCTCATGACAACAGGTGAGGGTAGGAACGTAGATCGACCGGTAAATTGAGAGCTTAGCCTTCTGACTCGGCACCATGACAGATCAGTACAACGCCCGCATCACTGCAGATGCAGCACCAATCCACCCATCAATCTCACGCTCCAATTTTCCCTCACTCGTGAACAAGACCCCGAGATACTTAAACACCTCCACTTGGGGCAGGACCTCGCCCCTGACCTGGAGAGGGCATTGCTTTTCCAATTTAAGACCATCGTCTCGGATTTAGAGGAGCTGATTCTCATCCCAGCTGCAGATCATTGTCTGATGAAGCTAACAGGACCACATCATCTGCAAAAAGCAGAGACCTGATCGTTAGGCCACCAAAACAGTTCCTTTCAACAACTTGGCTGCGCCTAAAAGTCCTGTCCATAAAAGTTATGAGCAGAATCGGTGACAAAGAGCAGCCTTGGCGAAGTCCAACTCTCACTGGAAACGTGCTTGACTTACTACCGGCAATGCGAACCAAGCTCTGACACCGGTCATACAGGGACCTAACAGCCCATATCAAAGGGCCTGGTAGCCCATACTCCCGGAGTACCCCCAGAGGGCCCCCCGGGGGACGCAGTCGAACGCTTTCTCCAAATCCACAAAACACATCTAGATTGGTTGGTTGAACTCCCACGCACCCTCCAAGATCCCCCTATGGGTACAGAGTTGGTCCAGTGTTCCACGGCCAGGATGAAAAACCACATTGCTCCTTCTGAATCTGAGGTTTGACAATCCGACGGACCCTCCTCTCCGAACCCCTGAATAGGCCTTTCAAGGGAAGCTCAGGAGTGTGATCCCCCGTAGTTGGAACAAACTCTGCAGTCCCCATTTTTAAATAAGTAGACCACCACCCCAGTCCGCCAGTCCACTGGAACTGCCCCAGATGTCAACCAACACAACCCAACAACATCCAGAGCCTTAAGGAACTCCAAGCGGATCTCATCCACCCCCACTGAGGAGTTTTTTGACCACCTCACTTACTAAACTACTTATACCTTTATGGTTAATTTCAGCACAGCAGTGTTAAAATTCAACAAATTCAATGTTTTGTGGTTTCTTTTTTTCTTTTTTAGGGAAAGTTTTTCTGGCAGGTGAAGATTGGCTACACCATCGGTCACAGTGTTTCACTCATCTCTCTCATCTCTGCTATTGTGATTCTTTGCATCTTCAGGTAAGAAAAAAACTATTTTCCCATCAAACACGTGCAATTCTCAACAATTTCTCTCTTGCGGAAAACAATCATGAATCAGTCTAGCCGGGACTTTAAAGACCAACGTATAAAAAGATGTTGATCCTATGCAGCTAAACTGGTCTCCATGCATCCCAATGCACGGAAATCTCTGCCAAACGATTGGTATGAAACAATTTAAAGATTTTTTTTACTTTTGAATTAATTATATTTTTCATTCAAATTGTCCTACACATAGACAGGGATTATGATTTTCTTACAGATCAGACTTTAAATGTTCTCTCCATGATGCCAATTGTTGAGGAAAAGGATTGAAGAACAGACTGAAATAAATCCTTTAGCACCGCAGCGCCTCAGAGAATAAGTTTGATATTAATCCTGCTGGGTGTGATGTGCCATGGGTGACGAGACAAATTATACACATCAAGATTGAACACTTTTCAGAGTATCTAAGATCAGTTTACACTTGGACACAAAAAGCAGGCTAAAAGACGAGATGAGAGATAGAAACTCTTAAAGCTGTTGCTCAAGCTGGGCAAATACGGTTCTGGTGGACATGTGCATTTCAGGGTTTTGGTAGAATCAAGTTAGATGTTTGGGACGAGCAGGAAATTGTTTTTAAATCACAAATGTGTGTGTTTCTTCAGTCTGTTTCCTTTAAGGTTTATTTTACTAGTTACTTTCCATGTAAGCAAGCACAACTGGCCTTAGGATGAAAAACCTAACGGAAGTTCCAAAAAGATTAAGTAAGTCTGAGAGCAGAAAATCGAAACAAGTCACAAATCTGAGCCATAAAAGAGTGATGGGGCACCCTTGGTGGTAAGGAAAAATAAAAGTCAGGAATGTGATGACTTGTTTAAAAAACACATTAATGGTCCTTAGAATATGTTAATTCTAAAAGGGATTTATGGGAATCAAAAGTTAAGCTTTGAAGGCCACAAATCTGACCTTTTGGCATGGTTATGCACAACTAATATCTGACCTGTTGTTAAAAGCTCTTTCAACACCCTTTGTTCGGAGAAACAGGGTTTAGCTCTCGCCAGATTGATGAGCTAATGGCTAGGCTGGCATTGGATTAATACTCTCTTAAAAGTAGCCCAGCCTAAAAAAAAATTTAGTGATTCATGAGAACATTTTTCAGATGGTTACTTACATTTATTTCTAAAGTTTTTTGCAAGCACACGGGAAAGTAGCATTAGCTAGCTGTAGCGTTTCCTGTAGTCTTGGGCATTTCTGCAGGAATACAAAAATGTTCCTGCAGAATTTAAATTTCATCCAGAATTTGAAAGATCATTCTAAGACTTGGGTTTGGTTTAAAATGAGAGAAGTCTACTTTGAGCTTAGCCTCTTTGGACTAGCTGTTAACTTGTCAATCATGTCAGATACTGACATTCAAAGACCTTATGTGAAACATTGATTCTTCATTATATATATATATATATATATATATATATGTATATATATATATATATGCATGTTATATATATTTATATGAAATATGTATACGCGTGTGTAAGCGTGCGCGTGTGTGTGTGTGTGTGTGTTTGTGTGTGAGTGTGTGTGTGTGCGCGCGTGTGTGTGTGTGTGTGTGTTGGGGGAAATTAAAAGTTAAATTAAAGTCAACGATTCAAGCATCTGATGTATATCTTGTGAAAAAGCAGCAGCTTTTATTAATCGGGAACAAACATTCCTGGAATAACCTCTGAACATCAGTCACACACCTTCTGAATTATACATTTAATGCAAAACTCAATAAAAGCCTGTAAGAGGACAGGTCTTTTTAAGCAGCTACAACAGGATGGGAACAATCTGTCCTGGGTTTGATGCAGCCATGTCTCCAGTGGATGCTTTAAATTACTTCAAATTCATTTTATTTTCCAAAATGAATGGTTTTCTACTTTGAAAATGTCCTTGGGAAAAAGGGGGAATAAAATCGAATGAGTCTGAGTCATTGTAAGGCTTCACACCTTCTCTACTAATCAGTTAATCTCTGAGAAAGATAATCACGAGGTGAAGAAGTGTTCAGTAATGGATAATGGAGAGTTTCATAAATGTTTACTCAGTTGGAAATTTACCTCACTTGTCAGATTTGTTGAGATGTGTAAAGGACCATAAAAAGCATTTAATGTTCTCTGAAGTGGATCCACCCACTTAGCAGCCAAATGGATTGAGAGGCTTGGTTAGGAGTACATTAGGTCTATAATTTCCTGTTATTTTAGACTATTAACTCCAAAGATTTCAGATAATTAGCACATGGACATTGTTTATAGAACGGCTTGTATGTTTCCTTGCCTTGATCTGGATTTTTGAAGAGTTATTATTAGTTACTTAATTATTTTTTTCAGAAAACTCCACTGCACAAGGAACTACATCCACATGCACCTGTTTGTGTCGTTCATCCTGAAGGCAATCGCGGTGTTCATCAAGGATGTGGTTCTGTATGAGGTCGGGGAGGTAGACAACTGCTCTCCAGGATCTGTGAGTTCAGTGTTTGAGATGCTGCAGTTAGATTTGGGAAATTTTGTCTCAAATGGCTCCAGAGCATTTGACTTTGTTGAACTTGGAGTAAGCTGATCAAAGCTCAGCAGAAATTACGGTTTTATTGTTTAGAATATTTCTTAATAGTGGTTTTGGATAAGGCTTCAGTGTCTTTTGGTTTCCGGAAAAAAAAAAATTAAGCCAAACTATATTCAACAATTGAGATGAGTTTATTTATTCAGAGGGGCGGTGCTTCAAACTCATACTGCAACCAGCCACTAGAGGGTGCTCCAGCTTCTACTTTAGCATAAAATATCCTACTATTAACTTTAATACATGTTGATATTTAAAATCAAGTAAGTGGTTTCCTGTTTAAGGAATTTGGGTGTTATTTTTGACCAATCAATGTCTCTTGAAGGTCACTCAAAAACAATGGTCCGAAACTGTTTTCATCATTTAAGAAATATATCCAAACTACGAAGGTTGGTGTCAAAACATGAACTTGAAATGGTTATCCATGCCTTTATCTCCTCCCGTCTAGATTACTGTCACACACTTTTCACATGTTTTAACAAAAAAGCCCTTGACCGCCTTCAGTTGGTCCAAACCTCTGCTGTGAGGCTCCTAACTGGAGAAAACAGAGGAGCACACATCACTCCTATTCTAATGTCTCTGCACTGGTTACCCATTAACTTCAGAGTTAATTTTAGAATCCTGATTATAACTTTCAATGCTCTACATGGTCAGGCTCCTCCCTATATTACTGAACTGTTAAAGCCTTATGCTCCAACCCCAGCCCTCAGGTTCACACACCAGAACCTTCTAGAAGTTCCAAACACCAGATACAAAAGTCGAGGGATCGCTCCTTCCAGACTGTTGCACCCTGACTTTGGAACATTCCGGAACTGTGCTGCTCTGGGTGGTTGCATGTTGGAGTAGCTCTGTTGACAATATGTAAGTTTTGCCTTTTTTTTTTTTTTTACAGTTTTTCTTCTAGTTTCTCAAGAAAAACTGTATTTTTTGGGACATTTTACTTTTCTGTTTCTGGTGCTGTGAAGCTTAGAGGATTTTTACTGCTATTTTCTCACTTTTTTCATTTTTTGAGCATTTGTTACGATGCATAACCATGGCAACTAGCTGGTTTACAATCGGGAGCAGCGGATTAACATTGAAAAGGCTGAAATAATACCTCAACTGAAGCCACAAATCCCAAATGAGCTAAAACGCAAGAAGCGTGGGTGCAGAGTGGGAGCAAAATGGAGACAGAGAAAGAGGAAATTCAAACCATCTCTTCCATCGATCATAATGGGCAATTTGAGATCACTGGCCAACAAGATGGATGAACTCCAAGCCCTTTCAAGGACTCAGCCAGAGTATCGGCAGTGCAGTGTTATGTGTTTCACTGAGACGTGGCTGCAAGACCATATCCCCAATTACAGCATCTCTCTGCCAGGACTCCTAACTGTACAAGCAGACAGAGATCTGAAGATGAGCAGGAAAAGAAAAGGAGGTGGAGTGGCAGTGCTTGTCAACAACAGATGGTGCCATCCAGGTCATGTTTCAGTGAAATGTCGTCTCTGCAGCCCAGATGTTGAACTCTTGGCAGTAAGTTGTCGCCCATATTACTTGCCAAGCGAGTTCACCAGTGTTGTCTTGGCAACCATTTATATTCCACCTTCAGCCATTGCTGAAAGTGCTGTGATGCCATCAGTTCCATTGTCGCTAAGCTACAAACCCAGCACCCCAATGCATTTGTGGCTATTTCTGGTGATTTTAATCATGCCTCGCTCTCTGCTACACTTCCAACATTTCAACGGTTTGTCAGCTGCTCCACCAGAGAAAACAAAACATTGGATTTGTGTTATGCAAATGTAAAGAATGCATACATGTCCAAAACAAGATCTCCTCTAGAACAATCAGATCACAATCTTGTTTTTCTCTGCTCAGAATACAAACCACTTGTTCAGAGGCAACCTGTGACAAGAAGAACTGTGAGAAAATGGTCACAGGATGCTGGAGAAGCCCTGCAGGGTTGTTTTGAGACCACAGATTGGATGGATATGAAGAGGACATCAATGCCATGACTGGATGTGTCACTGATTATATAAACTTCTGTATGGACAAGAATCATACCCACCACAACAGTGAGATGCTTCGCTAATAACAAACCCTGGATCACCAGTGAACTGAAGAATCTGCTAAATGAGAAAAAAGAGCCTTCAAGGAGGGAGACAGGGAATTATTGAGGAGTATACAGAAGCAACTGAAGATCAAGATCAGAGACAACAAGGAGGCATACAGGAAGAAGCTGGAGAACAAACTACAGACGGACAATATCAGAGATGTCTGTTCAGGGATGAAGAAGATCACAGGCTTCAAGCAGAGGAGGGATTTCACAGATGGCAGCCTGGACACAGCCAATGAACTGAACAAGTTCTTCAATAGGTTCAGTTCAGGAACAAACCCAGCATCTTCCTCGCCTGTCCCCAGCCAATCAGACATCCCATCCTCCTCTGATCCAACATTTTCCTGTCACACGCCAGCTCTTTTGTCCTCTAACACTGTCATGGACTCTTCTGGTTCTATAAATCTGTCTTCAACCAAGCCAGGAGATGCTGCTGCCCCGTTTACCTCCCCCTCCCACCTATCTGTCTCTATAAGTCAGGTGAAGAGGCAGCTGGAGAGACTGAACAGGAACAAGGCTGCAGGTCTAGATGGTGTCAGCCCCAGAGTACTGAAGGCCTGTGCAGAGCAGCTCTGTGGGATTCTGCAACACCTCTTCAACCTCAGCCTGGCCCAGGAGAAGGTTCCAGACCTGCCTTGTTCCAGTTCCAAAGAAAACTTGCCCATCAGTCAGTGACGACTACAGACCGGTTGCCCTGACATCCCACATCATGAAGGTCCTGGAGAGACTCCTGTTGGTCCACCTGAATAAGCAAACTAGGACATATCAGGACCCATGGATGTAATTTTCATTTTAGAAGTGGGGGGGACATGGGGGGGGGGGTGTCTTTACAGTATGCTCTAATGGGAAACAGGCTTCAACACAAACGTTTGGTTTCCACATGGTCCTTGAGCTCAACCAGTGTCAATTTAATATAGCATAATATTGTTTTTGGATGGTAAAACATGCAGGGGTCAAAATTTTACTTTGGAAAATGTGTGTGTGTGTGTGTGTGGGGGGGGGGGGGGGCATGTCCCCCCTGTACCCCCCCCCAAAATTACGTCCATGTCAGGACCCACTGCAGTTTGCTTATTGCCATGGAGTTGGAGTTGAAGATGCCATCATCCAGCTGCTTCAACTAATCCACTGTCATCTGGACAAAGCAGGCAGCACTGTCAGGGTCATGTTCTTTGATTTCTCCAGTGCATTTAACACAATTCAGCCTGATGTACTTTGCCAGAAACTCCAGAAGACACAGGTGGGGGCCTCAACTATCGCCTGGATTAAAGACTACCTAACAAACAGACCACAGTTTGTGAGGCTGAAGATCTGCACATCAAACCAGGCGATCAGTAACACTGGAGCACCACAGGGGACTGTACTCTCACCATTCCTTTTCATCATGTACACAGACTTTCAGTACAAATCAGAGACCTGTCATCTACAGGAATACTCAGATGACTCTGCAGTTGTCGGGTGTATCAGAGATGGACAGGAAGGTGAGTACAGAGAGCTGGTGGAGCGCTTTGTGGCATGGTGTGGAAACAATCATCTGAACTTGAACGTGAACAAAACAAAGGAGATGATTTTAGACTTCAGAAGAAACAGGGTGGAGTCAAACACTGTTTCCTTCATGGGAGAAGAAGTGGAGGTGGTTGAGGAATACAAATACCTTGGAGTTCGCTTGAACAACAGACTGGACTGGAGAAAGAACAGTGAAGCCGTTTACAAGAAGGGACACGGCAGACTGCACTTCTTGAGGACGCTTAGGTCCTTCAATGTCTGTAGCAAGATGCTGCAGATCTTCTACAAGTCTGTTGTTGAGAGTGTAATCTTCAGCCATCGTCTGATGGGGTAGTAGCATCAGAAGCAGGGACCTGAAAAGGCTCAACAGCCTAATAAAAAAGGCTGGTTCTGTTCTGGGGACGACTGTGGAACCACTGGAGGAGATAATGCAAAGAAGGATTCTCCAGAGAATCAAGAAAATTATGGACAACCCTGAGTATTCTCTTCACAAGACTGTCCGACAACGGAAGAGTGTCTTCAGTCAGAGGCTTCTTCAGTTTCACTGCAAAACTGACCGCTACTGGAGATCCTTCCTGCCAACAGCCATTGTAATATACAATAACTCTTTGATGACTTGATTATTATTATTATTCTGAGCTACTACAGCAATCAAGTTCCCTCTGGGATTAATAAAGTATTTTTAAATTTAATTGAATTGAATGATCTTCCTCCTTACGCAGCATTTACAGTCTGGACACTTTTAAAAAACAGCTAAAGACCCTTTTATTTAAAGCTGCTTTTACCTAAATTATTTATTTTTTTATTTTTAACTCAAAATTTTAATCTTTCATCTGTTTATGAAATGTTATAATTTTATGACTTTTTTTCTGATGTTAATCTGATTCTGTTTTGAGAGCATTTTGAATTCATGACTTTGTTTTATTTTGTTTTGATCTAAGTGCTATATAAATAAAATTTACTTACTTACTTATTTGTCAGCTGCTCCCAGTGTTCAAGATGTAAACAGCAAAATGGGAATTTTAATGCCATCTTTGTTAATTATCATATCTTTATTTTAACACCTCAAAACAAAAATATTTGAACAAAAAGTCACTGGATACAAAAATTTGAGCTTCCTGCAACAAAGTATCTGATCCTCTATGGTTGCATTTTGAATGAATTCATCAATTTTGATTAAAGTTTTCTTCCATTATGTCGTCAGCCAGCCGGAAGATTGGGTTATCCTGCTTGGCTGTGTCAGTCTCAGACTTTTATTTTGCCCCGCTGGAACATTTCTGCACTCTGACTTTTCGTTCTTTCGTTACGGGGAGAGACGGAGCTCTTAGTGTAAAGTCCTGCTTCACAGTCGACTAAAATTACTTTCACTTATGTGTAAATTATTAAGTCAGTCTACTTTTACTGTCAGCATTTATAAAAGTCACTGCATTATTGGTGCATTATTCTAAGTTGCAAATTACCTATTTACAGTGGAAACAAGCCATTTTGCAGAAGTAGTCATAAACATCAGATTATTTAGTTTGAAATGTGATAAATGTGCAATTTCTTGTGTTGCAGGTTGGCTGCAAAGCAGTGATTGTGTTCTTTCAGTACTGTATTATGGCCAATTTCTTCTGGCTGCTGGTGGAAGGTCTTTATCTTCACGCACTGCTGGCCGTCTCTTTCTTCTCCGAGAGGAAATACTTCTGGGCTTACATTCTCATCGGCTGGGGTGAGAACAGTTCTTTTTTTTTTTTTTTTACATTTATGGAGCAACAAAAAATAAATGTAAGAATCTTTCCCACAGGAATTCAGTGGTAGGTTTGATTTTGGTTTAATATCCCAGAATATAGATTTGTATTTTTGATGTCTTGTCCTTAGGTGGTCCAGCAGTTTTCATCACAGCGTGGAGCATTGCTAAAGCCTACTATAATGATGTGGGGTGAGGGAAACAGCAGGGAACTGCTAAATCTTTTTCCTTTGATTTTCCACACTTTGCACATTTGTTCTTGTTTCATGTCTCACCAGGTGCTGGGACATAATCGAAAATACTGACATGTTCTGGTGGATCATTAAAACCCCCATTTTAGCTTCTATCATGGTGAGTGCATGAAAGTTAAATACATTATTTTAGAATTGAGAATATATGGAAGAGGATTAGGGCCACTGGAAAAATAATAATAAAGAAGAAGAAAAGAAAGAGAATTCTGACTAATAATTCTGAGAAGAAGTCAGAATTCTGACATAAAAGTCAGAATTTTGAGATTAATTCAGAATTTTGAGATTAAAGTTAGAATTTTGAGGGAGAAGTCAGAATTCTAACATTAAAATCAGAATCTTGAGATTAATGCAGAATTTTGAGATTAAAGTCAGAATTTTGAGATTAAAGTTAGAATTTTGAGGGAAAAGTCAAAATTCTAACATTAAAATCAGAATCTTGAGATTAAAGTCGGAATTTTGAGATTAATTCAGAATTTTGAGATTAAAATCAGAATTTTGAGATTAATTCAGAATTTTGAGATTAAAGTCAGAATTTTGAGAAAAAAGTCAGAATTCTGAGATCAAACCCACTTTGCAAAGATCTAGTTTGGACGTCTTAAAGACGTAGTCTGGACCAACAGACTCAATATAGACATGATCCGCACGTCCATGCGACGTTTACTGTTTGCAGGGAAGTTTGACTTTTGAGGAAGAAAAGTCAGAATTCTGAGATTAAAGTCATAATTCTCTTTCTTTTTTTCTTTTCAATTGCCCTAATCCTCTTCCGTAAGATTAAAAGCATCCCGTGAATATGCTTGACAAGTCTTAATCAGGAATAATCTCTGTTTCTCTAATCTAAAGTAATCCAAAGATCTTTTAGGAACAAATAACATATTAATTGTTTAAAACTCATCCTTTAAAACATCTTCAATAACTTACCTTCATCTTTGTCTCCTGTTATTTACGTTACCCCAGATGAACTTTGTTCTTTTCATCTGCATCATCCGAATCCTTCGCCAGAAGATCAACTGCCCGGACATTGGACGAAATGAGTCCAACCAATATTTGTGTGTATAATATTGTCCTCTCATATTTATCTATTCATAATGTTTATATAAAGTGGCTGCAGCCTTTGAGGAGCAAAATGTCCCACATAGGGGCTCCCTTTAAAAAGGATAAACAAAAAATCATCTGGAATAAATTTCCTGTGCAACGCTCAGATCAGACACACTTTTGTGTGTAGCAGCCTCTTTTAATGTACGCTGATAACTAATCACTTTAAACTTTGGGAGTGAAGCTTCCCTTTTTGTGTGACGCCCACATCACCGTGGCCTCCCACTGGCAGCTAAAGAGATGTCGCGCTTGGTGTGTTTGAGTGAATTTCCTGTGATGGAGAGCATCGCAAACAGAAGCCATAATGCATGAGCTACTGTCCCACTGACATTGTTAATGGTGTTTTCTTCCATCTCTGGTCCACTCAGATGAAATGTAAAATGAAAAGTACTCGAGTCGCATTTCATTGTCGATGTATACTGACGCAAAATTGGTTTTAGTGCAGAGAGAGAGAGAGAGAGAGAGAGAGAGAGAGAGAGAGAGAGAGAGAGAGAGAGAGAGAGAGAGAGAGAGAGAGAGAGAGAGAGAGAGAGAGAGAGAGAGAGAGAGAGAGAGAGAGAGAGAGAGAGATGTGTGAATTTGTGTTGTTTTTTTTTTCCTTTCAGGAGACTCGCAAAATCAACGCTACTCCTGATTCCTCTGTTTGGCGTCAATTTTATCGTGTTTGCTTTCATCCCAGAGCAAGTGAAGACTGAGCTACGACTGATTTTTGACTTGATCCTGGGATCATTTCAGGTGTGGAAACCTTTATGGAAAGTTTTGTTGTACACATAAAACTATGTTGTAGCAATTATTCCATTGTTGACTTGCTATAAAGTTCTTGCTGCTGTAAGTGGGTCATCTTCCAGTCTTGTCATTGGTTAGAAAGGAAACGTGCTACATCATGTAGTATATTGTTTATATTTTGTACATATTTGCAGTTTTCCGATATTTTAAAGGGACATAAAAACTCACCTTTAGGAACAATTTGTGCTGCTATGGGAGTCTATATAAATAATTCAAACATAAATAAAATGTCCATCCATTTTTTTGTCAGTGTGGTTTTAGGAAATATGTGCCTAAAACAAGCTGTTTCAAAAAGACCCTGTTTGTGACATCACAAACAGGGAAATCAAAATAGGAACACCTCTCAGGTGCAACAAAAAGGTGTTGCTGCAGCAGAAGTCACCTCTCAGGTATCAGGGTGTGTCCGAATCCACTGGCAGGATGCTTACGAGTACGGGTCCTCGCCGGTCTAACAAGGCCGGGTCCTTGCTAGACCGCTAAGACGGGAACCCAGCGGCTCTGAATTCAGACAGTCTAGCCTTCATCTCTACGGTGGCCCGTAGGTCCCGTCACAGCCGTGGCGGCAGCTACATGCAAAGGAAAAATGCTAAAGCTAGCGAAAATCGAGCAGGAATATTTAGGAGCTACAGCAGCTTTACCTCCTTCAGCAGCGTTTGTTCACAACCGTTTTCAGGTAAAGTAACTTTGTTTATTCTAGAAGCTTTCAGGACTTACATGTTAACTTTAGATCGTTTTATGTATGTTTTAAGCTACAGAATGAACTTGTTAAACATACACAACACATTTCTACAGAGTATTATCATGTAGTTAATTAATATAAACCAAATGCATTATAAATGTTGAATGCAGTAGGATGTTTTCTAATGTAAATTGGACCTTAGAACTTCTTATTTTGCATCAAATGGGGGTAAAATGCTTTAAAAAACAGGCTTTTTAATAAAATAGCATTGAAGTGTTTTCAATGTGCATTTGTTTATTCAACTTAAGCCTAATAATGATTAGATCTGTCTTAAAAATGTAAATTCTCTGTAGTTTTTATTTAACTATTCCCTGCTGCTTTTCTTTAAACTGAACAGAACCAGTGTACTGCAGGTTATAGGTTTGTTTTACATTTTTCAATTTAAAAAATCCTCTTTTTTAATCTATTACAGGTCAGCATGCACTGTGCTGCACATCTGCCTCTGTGCTGGTGAAGTTGTGGTTCTGGAGAATGAGCCTGAGGAAGATGTGTGTGGAGGAGGTCAGTGGTGCTCTGTCCTGGAGGAGGTACCAGCAAACCACCACTACTGTTAACAGGCAAGTCATTTATGTAGGAACCTCTATTAAAAACAACACTGTGGTTTTATTTGCTGAAGAGTCACAATTGTTATACCAGTGGATCCATAAACCATCTCCTCATTTCATATTTCTGAATACATCTTAGAGATGTAACAGCCGTCATCTGAGCCAGCCCAGCAGTCCCTGTAGATGGACGATGGAGTGGACAGTGAGAGGAAGCATCCCAAAGCTCTCTGCAGACCGTCCTGTATGATGTTCCTCTGACCAGAAACGTCCAGCCACAGGTCTGCTCCAGCCCTCCATCCACGTCTGGATCCTCCTGCAGCAGATCCAGCTGCACTGTTAAAGACTTCCTGCTCACTCAGTTTAAATAAATTATCCAGGAAGAGTCACTCAGGTTAATCCTGCTTTAACCGTACATAACTGGTCTATACTGGTTTTGATCTGTAAATAAGTTTAACCTATTATAAATAATCTTGTCTCCTTACCATCTTTTCATTTTCTGTTCATGTAACATGTTCAAAAACATCTGTAATAATAAAACTGGTGATAAAATCAATGACCAGAAAGAGTTATCAGTTAGTATTTGTTTTAATAAATGTGTTCAAATATCAAACAGCTAAATAACATTAACATGATGACAGTAGAAGGCCTCTCTCCCAGGAGGACCACCAGGTAAAGCCTCTCCTGACCCTGGGCTGGACACTTGCAGTCCTACAGAGAAAATCAGAGACCACAGGTGACAAAAAGGCAATAAACACATTTTTACATTTATCCACATGAGAAGATAAAAATTATATTCTTCACACAAACAATTTTTACTTCATTAAAACGTGTCAGCTGTGTAAATCCCTGAATGTAAAACTACTTTTCACAGCAGAACACAGGATGAACTACTGTACTCATGTGTTAACAGCTTCACTCTTCACCTCTAAGCTTAATAAAAACGCTCTGTTGTCCCTAAAACAAATGACAAGTTTAATTTGCTTACACACACACACACACACACACACACACAAACACACACACACACACACACACCACACACAAACGGGAATAACTACGGGACCCGCAATACAAACTCGTTGTGGCTGATTTCTGCCTAAAATGTAATTTAAAAAACAAATATACAAACGAAAAATGTCTATAAGCAGAACCACTTTATGCTTTTTAATTTCTACGGCTAGTTTTTAACAAACTTACGTTTAAAGCTTTGTTGCGCTTCCCATTTTCTTTTCCTGTTGAAGATCCACAGCCGGCGCGCAAAGCATGCTGGGATAGCCTTGTTCTGTGAGGATACAACAGACCCGTCCTCGAAATGTGGGCGGAGCGAGGACACATTTGAGGACGCGAGAATGAGTATTCTTGGAATTCGGAAAGTACTCGTCGCTGCGCTGTGGCGTCATCGACCTCACACCCTCAGAGCTTCTCAGCTTATAGCAGTCTGAGCAGGGGAGGGATGGGCGTGGCCAGCTCCAGCTTGTTTTCTTAAAGGGACAGAGCCCTGAAATGGCTCATTCTGGAAGATACTGAAAATGTCAAGAATACAACTGCTAAAATCGCTTTTTGTGAGAGGGTTTTCGTGCAAAAAAACTTCATGAACATGTTTCGTATCAACCATAAAACTATTGTAACTCAAGGACAATAGTCATAAGGTGTCCCTTTAACCGCCTGAGACCAGAATTTTTATTTGGTGTGAATTTTTTATTAGTGATTTCAGAGTAGTAGGACCTTGTGAACGTGACAAATCTTAAACAAAGCACATTTCCTAAAATAAATAACTGAAAATAAAAATATCTATATCTGAATCAAGTGTCTCTAAATACTAAAAACGTGTCTTTGTTGCAGAGATTAAAATATCATAGCGCAGGATAGCATGTGCTCTTAAGAGGATGCAAGGTCTCAGGTATTATCCACATGGAAATGTTGCCTTTCAACAGCATTATTCTTATTTGTCATAATTGCAGAGATTTTAATCAAAGGAAAACATTGAAAACAACCAAAACTGCTGTAGTAAATGTGCCAGGCCTGTATGTGGTGCTGAAAGGCTGCTGCAAAAACACACAAAAGCATGATAAAAGCATTAAAACCAAGTAAAAACAAGATGATGACGATGATGTTACCTATGATGTGCATGAGGTTATAGTCATAAATAGACACAGATGAAGCATCTCTACATATCTTTTTTAGAAGCAATGCCATGAATTCATATAATTCACCTTTGATGATGAAGCCTTGGAAGGATTTTTATCCAACATCTGATGCCGAACGACCAGCTGCCCTCCTGTAACTTAAAGAACACACATGTAATCCAAGATAAACACATTTAACGTGTTTCATCTGTTTTCCTCTCCACTCAGGGCTTCGTGGTTGCTGTCCTGTACTGCTTCCTCAACGCTGAGGTGGGTGATGTAAACATTTCTTTGGATCATATAAACAGATTTGCCATGCAGCTGCAGTCTGCAGCCGTAGAGCTCACCATTAATATTCACAGCCTGTCCTGTAAGGTGGCTGGAACTTAAAGCACTCGCCGTCTTTCCTCCCCTGGTCGTGTTCTCTGCAGGCCGTCTGCCAGGCTGTGATGTGAAAGGAAACAGCTTTTTTGGCAGCAATGTCTGCAGACGCTCACTGTGGAGAGATTAGTTATGTCCCCAGTGCTCGGCCCGATTGAATCATTTGACTATACGCTGCCTGAATTGTAATCTGGTGAAATTTTCAGACAGCTTCTGTAAAATGTGAAGCCTTTTCTAAGAGTTTTCTAACGAAGAACAACCTTGCATTCCTTGATAAAATACATGTAAATGTAACTACCACCTTTTACGCATCTTAAGCTTCCTCCACAATATCAAATTTGAAACAAAAGAAAGAGGAAAGCTTGTAATAAGCTTCGATTATGGTTGTAATTTAAGGAAATGTTTAGAAAACCTTCATTATTATTAATCACAAGTTGACCAACCTATCACCTCAATATAAAGAACACATGGTTATCTGGAATGGCTGGTAAAAAATGCACCAAAATCAATAAAACCCAATTTTAGCTTATCTCTCGAAACAAAGCTTGTTTTCTTAAAATAATTAGATTTTAAAGACCAAATTCATCAAGAAACATTTATTTGTGAGTTATTTTCTTATTTGATCAGTCACGCTGAGTTTAACATGCAGTCTGAATGTGAAAATAGTCTTCTACCCCTGTTTCCTGTCCCCCATTCTGTTCAGCCTTGCGTCTCTGTTGATTGCTCCCACCTGCCTCTCGTTTTCCAATCACCCAAGCTCCCAGCCCTCTTGTATTTAAACCCCTTCAGCTCTGTGCCTCTTGTTGGCTCATTGTTCCCATGTCCTGCGTGCGTTTGTTATTAAAACCTTTTACGTTACCCAGTTTGTCTACCTGCCTGATTCCTCCCCAGCGTGTGGATCCTCACCTCCGTTCCACTCACCGGCACGTTGTGACATTTCCTGCATTAGCTACGATAGAAAAAAGACAGGGAAACGCTTGGATTGGAAAAAGTCTACGTCACATCTAGCATTCATGGACTCACTCATGTTGGCACGCAACTTGGAAGGTAGTTGTTGATTTGGCGTCCTGGAAAAAGTAAAGCTCTTCTCGGCTAGTAGAAGCTAACAGTTAGCATTAGCAACTCCACCGCACAGCAGAACACCTTCAGACTTGTGTTATTTGTGGAGATGAAACATCAACGTTGCTAAGCAAACAGAGTCAGTGGTAGAGTCGTGTTGCTGTTAGCAGAGTTGAGATGTCCATATATCAGGAAATAAGACTGCAAACCTGCCGTCTTCTGCTCACCACTCCTCTGGTTAAACCTTATTTCCTTTAACAGGAGCACCAGAGCTTTTTCTCCATAGACTCACAAAGCATTCGTTTATACTAGACTACTGAAGTTCTGAGAAAACAAATTAACTCGGTTATTAAATAGTGGAAAAAGAGCTTTTCTTACTTTTCATAAAGAGATTTTTTTTCTCAGATACGGTACTTTGAGATGATCGTGAGGGTTTTCTCTTCCATCTCGAAGGTGATTGGTGGCACTGCACTGCACATAAATGTTGGATATCCTACAAAATGTTTCACATTTTTACTCCCTCTCCTCCTACTTTTACATTTTACTACCTGAAGGAAAACATGGAGTTCAGTCAGTGCTCTGATCCACCATTTCCTGAACTGTGTGTTGCTGTTACCAATCGTAGGTGCAAGGTGAGATCAAGAGGAAGTGGAGGAGGTGGCACCTGCAGAGGTACATGGGCTCAGACACCAAATACCAACACCCGTCCATCGGCAGCAGCAACAACTTCAGCACCCAAATCACGATGTTGACGCGATGCAGCCCCAAAATGCGGCGTGGTTCATCCTCCTGCCACGATGACCTGTCCTGCATATGACTCGCCACAACGACGACACACAAAAACATCTATTCCATGAGTGCATCATAGAGGAACACCCACCTGTTCCTAAGTGTTGTAAGCACCTCACAAGCAACACGTTGACCAATCTGAAAAAATCACTGTTGGAATATAATTTCTTATCACTTGCTAAATTGTTAATGGGTTGCCTGTTTGCTCACATGCAGGACGAAGCGACATGATGCCCATTAGCGCGGTTAAACGAGTGAACCGAACGTGAACCGCACCAGCAAACACATGATTAGATGTAATTATGAGCTGATTAAAAAGTGGATTCCAAACGAGCCGCAGCCATTAGTGCAAACCTATTTTGCATGTGTTTGATTATTGATTATCTGCAGTGAGGGGAAAAAACATTTTAAAATCTCACCTCTTCAAAATAAAGAGACCGAAGCTTCCGACGGGACGACCATGTGACGGGTCTGGAGCACAGATGCCTTTCTCTGCACTAATCATCCACTCCCTAATCAAATCCACACTCGTGTTTACGTCAGGCACTTCGGTGTATTTTGTTTATCACTGATCAGTGCCTGGTTTCAGTTTAACCCTGGGCTGCACCGTGACACACCTTTACCCAGCTCAGCCTTTGAATGTTTACATTTACTTGGGAAGAGTAACAAACTGATGTACAGTGTATATAAAACGAGTTAATATAGACGTTTGTGCCATTTGGATGACATTGTTACTGCAATAACAGAAACCAGTCTCTGATTGCTGTTTAGGGAGGTGTGAATGTAGAAAAGAGGTGTGTTTCCACTACAAAAACTTCAGGGTAGATTTACAGGAACCTCCCGACATGCATGTCTCCACCTGACCGGTCGTTTTCTGGAACCTTCTGAGCACCTGCTCTGAAGTAGGTACTCCGAACGGCCCGGTGGAGTAGCTAAGCGGAACCTCCGCTTAATTTACACTGATTGGTTGTAAGTCAGTAGGAAATGACATCAGCAGATGTCCAAAACAACCGGAAGCAGTGAAACTAGAAAAGTAGGAGGTGAAGCAGAATGGAAGAGAAAAAAAAAAGCATCAATCATGTTTAAAATCGAACTCCTGACACCAGAAACCTCAGTGGGACTCCCCCACAGCTGTTGGAAAAAATGGGGCTTGTCTCACAAAACTCAGAGCTGTTCTTGTCCTGTGAACAGATTACATTATGATATATTTCTATAAAATAAATGCTTTTAATATTATTAATGTTACTCTGGGCACTTTTTGGGGCTGATCAGTGACATCACTCACTGCCAAAGCAGTCGTGATGCTGACGTCTGTGCTGGTTCTGAAAGGGTTTAATTTGAATGGTGGCACAGCAGCTGAGAGGACTGGGACATCCTATCTCCTGATCAAAATCCTCATCCCAGGAACTACCCTGGAGTTCAGGTAATGGAAACATGCCTAAGCTCTCTTAAAAAACTAGTGTAGTGTTCAAAAATAAACCTCAAGGAGATTTTCCCAGAAGACGATAAAAAGAAGGGACACCCTTTTTCAATGTTGAGGTTTTAAATTGAAATTATCTTGTCTTTTCCAGCCTCTACGAATAATTAATCTAATCTCACTTGGAAATAATCATGTAGAAGTTTGGACTGACTGGGCCATTGCATCATCTGTTCTGCTGTAGATTTCCTGTTAGATTGGCGATCATCTTCTTGTTTAAAAGTCAGAATTCTGAGAAAAAAGTAAGAATTCTCTTTCTTTTCTTTTTGTTTCTTGTCAGTGGCTGTAATCCTCTTCCGTACAGAGTAGAAATAAATAAATTAAATGTAGAGCACAAAAGTCTCAATACTAATAAACCCCCCACTCCAAACGGTCGGCGAATTATCCGCTCCCAACCCCATGACCCCGTCTCACTCTTTGAAATGTTCAAAAGTTGGCAGCCCTGTTATTGTTCTGAACCCCACATAAAAAGACTCTGCAAGTTACTTTTCCTTACTTACACTAAATTAAAAATGGCCACATTAGTTATTCATAAAGAGCTGAAATCCTGTTATTCTAAATCAATGTTTGTTTATCAGTGCTGTGAAGATTTACCGGTTTCATCTTTGTCTCTTGGTGTTAGAAATATTAATTGTATCAAATGCTAAAATATCTTCACACCTTTCATATGGATACATGTAAATAACTGTAACTTTAAAATGTTTGTATAAACTGATGGTGTACATACTAATAGATGTTGGGACTTACTGTTACAGTATTTTGATACTGATGTAACATTAAACAGGGATAAAAAATCAACAAACATTGTGCACTTAAATGAAATGTGTGTATTGATTTATTGATTTGCTAAGTGGATGTTGTCCTTTGTGTGTGTCTAAAATAAGATATGTAACACTTGCCTGATGTGTTCTTTTGTCAATTGTTTGTTGTCTCCTGAAGCCTATCTGAAATGTGTGTTGTACAAATATTTCTATTTAAAAATTCATATTTGAAATCTATTGCGTCTTTTGTTTGAGACACAGGTGATAACCCGATCAAATGTGTCTTCCCCAGTGTTTCGGCCGATAAGAGTGTGTAACGCCAGCAGAAAAAGGCAGGAAAAGCTGTTTGTGACAGGGAGATAAGAGGGCTGGGAGCACTCAGCAACGAGTCTCACAAAAGGAATTTATCTCAGTGATGACTGTACTTTTTCACTTGAATTGTGCGAAAGGTCGCCTTGCCCTTAAAAGACAAAATCATCGCAAAATAGCGTTAAATCCATTTTTGAAGGGCTTTGGATTTTCTGTGAGAGAAAATAACTATACTTTTTTTTTGTAATTTTAAATAAGGTAATGTCAAGAAAAACTACATTTTTTAGCTTCATATGAGTTTGATTTTTTTCTTAATGCTAAGAGAAATTAGGTCTATTTCACAATTTAAATGTTTACATGCAAATAAAGTCAAGTCAAGTAATAGTGATTTTTAATTTGACTTGTTTGGAAAGCGGTGATTAAAATAATAGAGAGCCTAAGTCACGTCCATCTACTTCTGGAACGTGGGTCCCTGAAAGAATGAAAAAAATGAATGCAAGTCAATGGGACTAAAAACGCAACTTTCTATTTTCGTTTGTTATGTGCCATGGATTTTACATATGATGTCCGTGAATGTTAAAAAGGCATTTTGATGCCAATCTGATTTGTAATTATGCTAATTACAAACTTTTACAAGCTGATAAATCTCAAAGTACGTGACTGGCGTGATCGAAATACACATAAATACTTTTCATTTAAATTGACGTACAACATATGTGCGATCCAGGGCAAAGCGGATTAGAAAATAGCTCTGTTAGCCCCGTTGACTTGCATTCGTTTGTTTGTTTCATCCGGAGCCCATGAGCCAACCTGAAAGGGAGGAGATTTAGGCTACTTATAGTTGTGATTGGAACTCAAACAGTGAATCTCAAACTAAACACTAAAGTGATTTTGGACATTAGCTGTATTTCCACAATCAGAGTTCCGTAAAATTTCTGGGAGGGAGAAAAGTGACCAGGAAATATGATGGCTTGGTTCTCCGCGGCCATTGTGTCCATACAAAATCAGCTATTTCAAGACTTTGCTAAGACGTCAGCATATCGCCACTGCTTCAGCAGTTTGATGAGCACCAAAGGCGTCAACCAACATAATCAATAACATTAAAAGTTTTATACTGTCAAGTACGCCGTAATTTAATTCATTTGGGGCAAGGAGAGCTGCTGTGTAAAGTAAAAAGCAGCATTCGATGACCAGAAGAAGCATTGTTTTGGTTTTCTTTACAGTGCTCTGTACCTAGCCAACATGCATAGGTGGGCCTCACATTTATACATGAGTTTTCAGAGGGACCCAGATGGTTTGACTCATATGAGGGCCCATTAAAATCGATGTGGACAAATCCCTGTATGGTTTGCCCATGTGTGTCTACATGGGGCCCACCTATGCAAGCTGCGTGGGATAGGAGACAACAGAACAACATGAATTACAACATTATGGAGGGATTTACGCCACATTTTTCTGCGTTGGAAGTTTAGAAACAGCCATTTTAAAGCAGTGTCAACGCCACTTATTTTCTTTTCTTACCATTTCGTTTCACCAGCAGCTCTTCTAACGTAACAAATGCCGGTCATTTGGTTGTGTCTGCCAATATAATTTCCTACTGAGTTAAAACCAATCAGCATGAGTTAAACACAAGTTCCTCTCTGATCCTTTCGGATACCCTGTCAAAGGTACTCCGTTGGTCAAGAAAATGGTCTTTTCGGTTAAATGGAGACACACGCATGCTGCAAAGGTCCAGCAAAATTACCCAGAAGTTCTGATGGTGAAAACCGGCCTATCGGGGCCAGGTTCCAAGTGAAAACGTGACGAAGTCCACGACCACCGCACCAGCCACAGGTATTCATCAAATTCTGACTAATATATTCCCGACCCACTAGATGTGTAGGAAAAGCCTTACATCCAGCCAACAGAGCCAAAAATAGACCAAAAAAAATCTTAGTTTTTCTTACCAGAATCTCCTTTTTGTCTTTACAGGAGGTGCAAATGCAGAAAAACTATAAATGTCTCCCTAAATCCAAAAAAAGACAAGATAACTTTATCTTTCTATCACTTTTTCCCTAATGTTCCACCACAGTCCAGCTCCTTGTCTGAGAGAATTAAACTTTGGTACTTTGAGTTAATCCGTCTGTTTTCCCAGAGGTTTATTGGTTTTCATGCTGCCTTTGAGCAGAACAGATCTGCTATTTGTGTGCATGAAGAAACACAAACCCAGCCGAAGATTGCTTGTGGGTTCAGGGTTTTATTAGTGCTGTCTGTAAAATGAAAATGTGTTTACACGTGAAACAATTAACTATTCATGCATTTGTTAAAAACATCGACCCCCAAGCCCAGGCTGATCACCAAGTCGACTTTTTGGTGCGTTTTTCAATAAACCAACTCAGAAACTTCACGTTTGATTTTGCCGAGTGCATTCGCTGTCACATTTGTCAGGTGGCCGAAGTTATTCTCAGACTTTCTGAGAAATTGCTGGACAGGTGTCTTGGCCTCCAGCGCTGATCAATATTCATGTTGCTGGTTAAAAATTTATCTCACACACACACGAGGGGGAGGTTTGGAAAGGTGAGTGATTGAGTAAAGCTCTGTCTAAACCCAAAAGAGGGTGCTTTGATCAACACTGCTGTCCTCAGATCAATTAGGATAATCCTGATTAAAAAGGGGATTTATTATCAGCCAAATTCAAACTGATCTGATAGGAATGTGTTGGACACATTTCAGAATCACAGCTGCGGGTCATTGCATTTTAGTGGTTTAATGGTTGGGTTTGGCTATTGCAGCTGGTGTACTTTGCACAGTTAGAAAGTTAAACCTAAATCATTTTAGAGTTTATGAATAATTTACACAAATGTGCTTTTCAGCTCTTTCTAATCATTGGCAGCTGTAATTTAAAAAGTTCTTCAACTTTCTTCAGGAGTCCAAAAACAAGTGTTACCAAGTTAGATACTGGAGACTCTGGACTCTGAGCATCTCTGTCTTGGCCTTGTGATTGACCATGGACCTGTCCTGGATGTCCTCTAGCAGGTGGTTGCACCCTTTTCCCATACAGGATGGAGATTTTTATATGAAGAAAAACACAGCTGGTTTGGGAATCTCAGGGTTTTATTACTGCTTTATGCAGATGGTGTAACGTTGTGGGCATTTGGACCTCTACCTCTTGCCCCATCAAAGTTTGCTCAAAATTTGGGTGCTGCGATCGAAAACCAGTTAACCTTTATATATATATATAACCAAATGACCCAAAATGAACAGTTTCAGTGTAGGGAGCGCTGTCAACTGCCCAAGGCACATCCACAGGCCCTAGAGCACAAACCGTTCTGGGACTGTCCAAGTTTAGGTGCTCGCTGATCATTGTCTTTCTGGATTTTTTTTCCGGCCACGTTTCTTCCTTGAAGCCAATGGGTTCCCACTATTTTTCCAGTTATTATGCGTGGAACAGTTTTTAAAGGTGTTGAATGTTTTTTTTCTGATTACAATCAGTCACTAAGTTTTTCATGCAGGCTGAACATAAAAATAGTCTCTTACACCTATCTCTTGCCATTTGAAAATCCTCACATATCTACGTCACACTGTGAATTAGCATTCATGGACTCACGACAAGGAGGGCTGTTCTTGGTTTAACGTCCAGGTCAGCAGCGGACGTCTTGGCTAGCTTAAGCTAACTGTTAGCATTAGCAACATCACCTCATAGCTGAATTCCTCCATGCTTGTGTTATTTGTGGAGATAAAACGTTCATGTTGTAGAGTTGCGTTGCTGTTATATAATCCAGGGCAAGATGCTCAAATTTCAGAAAATAAGACTCCAAATTCTGTCATCTGAAGTTCAGCTGTGATGTCACCTGCTGAGACAGTGGTTTGTGGGCTTTTTTATGTCCTGAGTTCTGCCTGCAAGGCCTTCATTCCATCTAAAGACCATTGCAAATATATTGATTAAATGAATCCACACCTTCAATCCAATTTACAATACATCCCACAATGCATTGCAACGTTACATCAAAATCAACTTTTAGCAACTGTAGAATAATAATATCTGTTGAGAGAAGATCAAAATTGCTTAGCAGAGAAAATCATTCCTGTAGAAAATTAATATGCTGTTAATACAGTTTCGATTAGATAATTTTTTTATTTATTCAATCCTGCTACTTGACACATTTTCATATAATTTCTGATAATTATTCAACAACCAGGGCTGGAGGACCTGTGAAAGCACCAGACACAGTAAGACGCTTTAAAGTTTTTATTTGAGAACACACAGGGGAGTGTTACCAGTCTGTAGGAAGGGCAGAAGCAGAAGGCTTGGTCAGGAGGGGAAATCCAGAGGCAGAGTCCATGTAACAGATCCAAGGTCAGGAGTCCAGGAGATCAGAAACTATGAGATAATCCAGTCAAGGAGCAGGCAGGTGGCAAGGTCAGGAACTTAAGGTTTAGGCAGGGTTTTAGAATGCTGGAGAATCTACTAGCAAATGCTTTCAAAAATCTGGCACTGGCTTGGTGTTTTTCCTGATGTTATATAGAGGTGGTTGCAGGTGGAGCTGATGAGTTAATGTGAGACAGGTGGTTTGAATCAGGTAGATGAGCTGGTTGTGGTTGCTGGGGAAACCGGGCCTGGCTGGAGCGGTGGCATGACAAATTATTATTAAAATAGAATAAAAAATATTTAAAAAAAAACATAACTAATGTTTATGTTTAAACATATTATCATTATGTACATAACCACTTTTAAAGTAGTAATACTTGGTGTTTAAATTATTATTTCAAATCCCAAAATATTTGTGTACAGCAAGTTCTTGTTAAACAAGCTACAGATACCTAAACCTTTTGGAATAGTTTTTAAAAGTAATAGTCATACGTGAATCATTGGGTTGATTTTAAAGAAGACTAGAGATAGTCCTAATAATGCAAGGTTAGTCATCAGATGCCAAGTTCAGGAAGATGATTTTGTTCAGTTTATTTTTTCAAAACACCTGATGTTTTTACTCAAATTCAGCTTGTAAATCTAAAAAATGAAATATTATACAACAGTTGTTTCAAAGCCTCAGCGGCTGATTTATGTTCAAGCTCTGCACATTTACACAATGACAGGAAGCTGGATCTCAGCTGTGATTTGAATGCATGTTTATTTTTGTGGAACAAAATGACTCATGGGGTCTCAGCAGGATCCTGTGATTGCATTTCAGAATCAAAATGTTTTTGTTATTAAGGTTTTGTGCCTGAAGTGATCATTGTAAATAATAGATGTCTATAAAACCAATCATATGATAGAAATCATAACAGGAATTGGTGGGTATTTTGTTAGAAAACTAATAGAACCAGCATCCACACCATTTCTAGATTAAAGAATACTTCTCAAATTACTATCGCATTCAACAGGAAAGGATGTTCTATAATGCCACAATTTAAAATTTAGCTTCTCAGTGCTTGATCTCATACATTTTGGTAGAAAGATTTTTTTCCCCAAAACGAATTTGAACTTATCTCTCAGCAGTTATTTAAACTGGTAAATTCTCAGCAAAAATCATTCCAGGGTGCTTTCTCTTCAGCGGCGCCTGAACTGTCAGCCTACAGCTTGATCTCATCATTTCTCAGTTCCAGTAGGTTAAAAGCTGTCAGCAGTTGGACTGACATGGCAGCAGTTTACACCTGTCAGCGAGAAACATCAGGTCAAACTGAGAAATAAAATGGAGTCAAGATAACTGCCAATAAATTTACACACATTTATTACCTTGAATGTCTTTTTCAATGAAGTTATTATGGAAATTACAATAAAGACGAAAACACGAAGCTATTTTCTTTAAAAATTCAAAGAGAGGTGAGCTTTATGGGATTTTATTTTGCATTTCGTTTTAAGGTTCAGAGCAGATGTGATACGGCATCTGATTAAAGTAAAAATATATGTAAAAGTTAAATTCTGTAACTTTTTCAAGGAATGCCTTTCTGTGTGCGTGTACTTTGCACAGCTCTCTTAAACAGAATTTAAAGGGGACTTATTACACAAAACTCACCTTTTTGTGTTGCTATGTAGGTCTGTACTGCATCTATTAACACCAAATGTATAATTTCATTTAGTATCATTTTCTATCAGTGTTTGTTTTAGGGAATGTGTCCCCAAAACAAGCCATTTCAAAAAGTTCCTGATTGTGACATCACAAATGGGGAAATTAGAGCACAACCAATTCTTACATGCATGAAAGAGCTGCTGCCGGAGGAGCAGCTGCTCTACTCTGAGCCCCTCCCAGATGCTGGAGCTTCTCAGCTTATAGCAGCCTGAGCAGGAAGTGTAGCCGACTCCAGCTTGTTTTCATGAGGTGACAGAAACCTGAAACAACTCCTGGAAGGAACTGAAACTGTAGAGAATAAAACTGCTGAAATCGCTTCATGTGAGATAAATTTTATGCAGAGAGCTTAATTTACACGTTATTTACTGATTAGAACAATTATAAATTAAGGGGAAAAAAGTCATAATATGTTTTAAACACAAGTCTGAGGGCGTGGTTCCTGAAAAGGTCAGATGCTCCCTTTTAATCGACAGTATTTGTCTCAAGGTGGGAAGTTTCAGTCAGCTGAGGCTTGAGCTTCTGATAAGGATGGTCGGCTTCTTCTGGAGGTTTCCAGACACGTCTCACTCAGAAGAAACCCTAGGAAGATCCAGAATTCCCTGGAGGGATTATTTATCCTTTCTGGTCAGGAAACGCCTTGTGATCCCAGAGGTTGATGGGGATCTGTGGACCTGTGACCCCTGGGACCAAAACTTGGATAAACCAAGAAAAATGGACAGAAAAACTAAGCAAAAAAGGTTCTAATTCTGTTATAATCTATATATTTGTTCCTGGCTCAAAGGCCTCATTAGTGGTCTTATTAAAAGGTGGAAACTTAGCATTTCTGGAATGGTACAAACTGGGAAAAGGCTCCATCTGGTGTAAATCTAAAAAATTACCGTAAAACTCCCACTTTATAAACACACATTAAAGCGTTTGTTCAGTTTCATGCAGTGTGTAAATCTATATAGGTAAAAGCATTGATGAAATATTAATGTTTGCATTGCAGGTAAATGCTAAACAAAAAGGACAAAATTTATTCAGGAAACACCAACCAGTGCTTTTGGTATTTACATTCTGCAATCACAAAAACCAGTGAGTCAATTTAAAACTTGAGTTACAAGGTCATCAGAACCAGTCTTCATATGTTTCACATTATCAGAACTCTACATTTCTTTATTTTTACAAATGATTTGGTCAGAAATCTAATAAAACTCCTCCTTTGTATCAAAAATACACCCTTAATAACCCACACGCCCCGATATGTAACCAGTTAAACACCGTGTTTACAGTATTTCAACATTTCTGAGTCAGCAGTGGTAAAAATCTACAGAAATCCTGCCAGAAAGAACAAAAAAGCAGCCGTGATTTTTATTTTGGACTAAAACTGAGCAAAAAACTTGATTAAGAGGAAGAAAAATCTGTAGCAACACAGTTAAATTATTATCCTCCTATATGAGACAGTCCATGAGAGTAACGCCAAAAAACAGGAATAATCCAATTTCCTTAAAAAGAAATGTAAATTTCTAAGTTTTAAATATTATTAAGGACGGTTTAAAAACTGGAATTTTGTGAGAAATCCAGACAGAAGTATAAAATTATATATTTAAACAGCTTTTGTTAAAACAAATTTACAAACACGAGAGCATATCTTTTCAAACTAAATATTACACAGTTACCATTAAAATCCTTCAGATCACGGTTTGTCTTCACAACCATTAAATAAATGCAGATTTCTGCATTAGCTTGATAGAAAACAACATGTTTAACGGAGATTATGTGACGTTGATCATACTCATGATTCTCAAACCTCACACAAAACTCTAATTTTACTTAATTAAATAAAGAGAACTTCAGCTAAAAGTTAATGCGGGACTCAGTAAACTCGACGTTGTCCTTCCAGTTTTAAATAATCTTAAATAAGGTGTTGTATACAGATAATATTACGATCATGTCACCTCATGTATGAAGACATTCTGCCTTTATGTAGAAACTTTGGTGTGAAAAACTCAAAAAAAAATTCTTTTTTCTTGTTATATTTACTGAATGCATGAAAATAATCATCTTCATGAAGCCTCTCACGCCCCCACGCTCCTCAGACTCCACAATCGTCGGTTCTATGCTGGAGTTTACGAGTGAGGATGAGGAAAGTGGAGAGGGAGGCGACGACAACGTGGAAGACGAGCTGCCACGCGTTCCTCAGGCCGAGCAGGTACAGGTTGCATAGCACGATGATGATTAACAGACTGAAGGATTTGAGTTTCTTCTGAGATGAGTGGAACAAGTAGAGGTGACACTAGAGAGACAACAGCATGTTAAGAGTCTGGTTTCAGATTTGTCTCTCTTTTATAATGAGCTGCTGTTGTTTACCTGGAAAACACAGCAGATGAATGCCAGGAAGAAGGCCCCGACGTTCCAAATGCCCTCATAATCATCCTGTAAAAGAAGCCAAACATGACTGTATTAAACACCTGTGGCCTTGTTTCCATATGCGTCTGAATAATTTCCATCCAGCATGAATTTTTCACCAAGATCTTGAAAGGCTGATGGGAGAGTCCGACCACTGAGCATGAAATTTTGCCGTAACGGCTTTAGGGTCTGAATCAGAAGTTGTTGTTGCCTTATGTGTGAGGAATCATAACATTAGGAAATTGCTGCGGTACTTGGTGCAGAAAGAAAGATAAAAGTAAGAGATAAGCAAACATCAGAAGTAAGAATATAATAATAATATAAAGTGGCAATGCTTAGAGAAACGGTGTAGGTTCTGATCAGAGCGGATCTGTTTACGTACAAAAGCAACACCGGGTCATGTGACTGGAACCAAGCAACTGCAGTAGGCAGTCCTAGGATTGTCATTTATGAGTCCAACTGCAGAGAGGAAGAAGCTGTTCTTGTGGTGAGAGGTTCTGGTCCGAATGGATCTGAGCCTCCTCCCAGATGGGAGCGAGTCAAAACGACTGTGTCCAGGATGGCACGAGTCAGCTGTTATCCAACCTGCACACCTCAATGTTCTGGAGGTGTGCAGGTCCTGTATGGAGGGGAGTTTGGGTGTAGAACTGCCTCATCGACTGTGCTGGCAGGTTGAATTTCTCTGCTCTTATGACGGAGGTGATGGTGGGCTGCCACTTGAGTTCTTGGGTGATGGTGGTGCCCAGGATGCAACATGAGTCCAACATCATGATGGGAGGGTCAGACAGGGTTAGGGGAGGGGGGGGGCTGTGGTCTTCCTAAAGTTCACAACAATTCCATCTCTTTGGTGGTGTGGAAATTATGCCTCGTGTTCCCCGAACCACTCTTACACAGTTTCAGCCTAATTAATCCATAATGGAATAAAACATACACTAATAGAATAACCCAGTGGTTTTAGTACATTCAGCTATTTGGCTGACTTCATTCTTTGGGCAGTAATTAACCAGTAAAGGTAGTTTTCCAGGAGCACTACTCAGAGTAACTCGGACCGGTGCAGCTCGTCCCGACCACTGTTCCCAAGAGCACAGTTTAGTATTTTCCCTCTACTTCCCCCCTATTTTTAGTCCCTGCTCCATTGAGGTACCTAGCAAGGCTGAATCGGGCCAGCATCGTGATTCTGACTGCAGATTGGCTAGGAGACTGAGTCACCTGTTGCTATGCAGTTTTTTCCCCTTCTGTTTCACTGCCAGCTACCATTTCCTGGTTTAGAGTGTGACAAAAAGCCATAAAACTGAGCAAAATGTCCATCAACACCAACATTTTTCGGCTGAGATGTGTTTCTGTGGAGCATACAAGTTACCTTACACTGTTTACTGATCCCCTCATGCTATGTAGTCATGAGTAAACATCTGGTATATATATGTTGTGTGTGCGTGCCTGCATGCGCAGTGCGACAGTAACAATTGTCCCAGTGAAACATATGATCATTGGATCAAACAAAGCATTGAATCTAATTTTACAGTTTCAGCTGCACAAATAATCTTAAAATTTAGATATCAGCAATCCCTTCGGTGTTGGTCCTGTTCAGACTAGTCGTAAGCTTGTCAACATTGCTCAGAATTAAACCCTATTTCCCCAAACTGAGGCTGCTGAATCTACAACTGGTGATATTTTTACTGTCCATAACCTTCTAACAAATCCAGACCTAAAAAATTAAATAAATCTTAACTACTGCTTTAAATTAACACAGTAACCCTTCAGTTGTGAACTAATAATAATTTATTTTAAGTATCATGAGTCAGATCCTAGTGCTGATCATACCTGGAAGGTGTTTTCTATGAGGTGCACCCCACGGATCACATTCAAAGATGCACACATGATATTTAGGACAAGGGACAGGATGCCTGGTGGTGTCACTGGTTCAAGCCTCTGGTTTTTACCTGCTAGGCCAAAGAAGATGAGTGGGAAATGTTTACAGCCTATGATAATATCTACACATCACCATTTTATCTCAGCTTGGGACTGTAATGCTTGTAAACCTTCTCACCAGCAGCAGGACTTTGCTCTGCGTGACCATTTGTAATGCCGTTTGTGAGTTCCACTTCATCCAAGTTGATTACTTGAGGTGGACGGATTTTCAGATCCTCCTGTACTTCTGCCAGCGTCACCTCCAGAGCTGGACCGCCGCTCTGGTTGTACTGCTGCTTTAGCTTTTGAATAGTGCTGTCTGTTAGGTGGAAGCAAGAATCCGACTTGAATAAATACTGTTGTCGAAAATGTTTATAATCCAAAGCACGAAAATGTCAAATAGATGAAAATGTTTCTCTTCCCTCACCAAATTCCAAAAATGGATACGGCCTGGCTGCCAGGGCAACAACGGTGCTGTCGAAGCGTGCTGTGAACTCCCAGCGCAGATCTTCCAGGAAGCAGAAGGCTTTAGCAACAGGGAGGCTTCTGTGGCATACACTCAAGTAGGAAACACCCTCTGAAGAGGTGAAGCTGAACGGATGAGAGGAAAAATGGTGTTTAGTAGCCAAACAGCCAGCACAGTGTGACACGAGCGTCACAGCTTCTGTTTCCCCTGTCACAAAATTAAATCCACAGATTTTAGACTGTTTTTCTTCACAAAGACAGACAAAACAATGAACCAGCTGAATCCTTACTGTATGTGGAGCTGCTGGCCTTTAACAGTGCCCCAGTCAGGAAAATGAGCCAAAGACTTGCTGATGGTCCTGAGTTGATGCTTCCTCTCCTGCAGCTCTCGGTTGTGTTCAAAGTCGGTGGAGGCTGACAGGGGGAGTCCATCCCTCACCCGCACCACGAAGGCAAACAGGATCAGAGACATGATCCGCAGGCTCCATGGAGAACACACAGCCTTCACAAAGCAGACGGTAAACAAAATTAGGGTTTTAAAAACGTGTCTTATTTTAATGTAACACATACCTTCCAGGGTTAGTGATTGCTGTTTGTAGGGCTGTTAAAATAGATACTGACGAATGTTTTTATGCTTCCTATTCTATTTAATTTTGTCTAATATTCTTGGGACAAAAACTGCTTTTTATGTAATAAAATAATGTTTTAACGTAATAGTTTTAACAAATCTGGTAGATATTTAAACCCAACCAATATAGTATCGTAATAAATAGATAAATAACCTGAAATTGATATAAACAAATGTAATCATCGGTTATCTTACTAAAAATATTAATTCCGCGTAAAAAACGTAAAACTACACAATTTTCTTAGGCAGCTCGGAATCAGGCTGTATTAACAATATTTAACAAGCTACCCAACATCTTGTTGCACCTTACCTCTTTATTATGAAGTTCATTCTGCAGCTTATCACAAGCGAGTGTTGTTAGTAGCTGTGTGTGGCATTATATCAAAGAAAAATAATATTGGCAGGAAAAAAGCAGCAAATACACGAGTTATTGGATCAACTCGTGGTTAATGTTGAGTAAAAAACTCCAAAACATAAAAGTAGAACGAGAAATCTGAATGGTGGAGCGTATTAAATTGAATTGTGCTACTAGCTTAGAGAACAACAAATCTCCTACGGCAAAACAGAGGGGACAATTTTAATTGTGTACCAGTATTAGCAGGAAGTTAGCCCGAGCTAGAGCTAATAGTCGACCGTTCGTCAGATTAGCACTTTCTCTAGCTAGCTCATGCAAGTTGGTAAGATATGTATATGTATATATATATATATTCTAGAATTGTTATCACATTAAATAAGACAATTAAGTTTAAATGTTCATAATCGTCTCGTCTATAAAGAACATAACGTAAGATGTGCTAATTTTAGCTCATCGTTAGCTTATTGGAAACGTTTGTTGTTTGCTAAGTAGATGGGTATCTCTCGTTTTGCTTACTTTTGCTACAACTATTTGAATTTATTATGACTTGTGAGGGTTTCTTAGTCATTTAACTCATAAATGATACACATTGGGATCATAAATCTTTAAAGTTTATTTCAATTCACGACATTAATGTATTTGTACTACACATATTTGCATTTAACTGCACTACTTCAATCTTTTCTTTCCACTTTTTAATAAATTGTTACATAAATGAGCTCACGAATTTTTACTCTTAATAGAAAAAACAAGTGAGCTGTGTCTTATTTAAAAGGGAAGAGTTGGAATCCGACAGTTCTGCTGTTTCTGATGAACCAGGTCATTGTGGGAGACGGTGCTTGTTATTCAAATAAACAGTTTTAGATTAGTATGTTATTGGGCTCACGCTTCTAAATTATTACAATCTATTTTAGCTTTTAGTCAAGAATTGAGAATAATATAAATTTACCACTTTATTTTAACAATAATAACATTCCAGCTTTTGTTTTTACATCTTAAAATGAAGGAACTATTTATTTTTTGCATTTAACAGCAAATTGAATCAATTTACTCTCCATATCTGATCATTTGAACTTTACTCAGACTCCAACTGAACAATATATTGCGTTTACATGAACTAAATAAAATATGCTATATTAATAAAGCTGACGAAGGATTTTGCAGAAACAGTGTCAGTTTATTCAGATCAGAGCCGTGCTGTATGCCTTAAATAATGTTCTGCTATTACTTTAAACTATTCTTAATTTCCTGCATTATTATTGTTCTTTTGAGTAAGTGGAGGAAGAGGCCTATTTTCCCTTGAGGCTTTTGGCAATATAAAGAAATGTTTGGGAAATTAAAATGATCTGAGGATTATAGTATAATTTAAAAAATAAAGGTCAATCATCATAAGAGATTTGTAGTTAGTCCATCATGAAAGCCAAGGTCCTATCTGTCCATTAAAAACTATCAGCCAATGTCTGTATGGATTGCCACCTTCACATTTAAATACAGCTCCTTTTCTTTTATTACACATCATTCTTAATGCCACCTATTTTTTCATCAAATAATGTTTACTTTTTATTGCAAAGCGGTGTGCTTTGTTGAAATAAAGGTTTGCAAGCAAGGTTTGTTTATATGCACCATCTCAAGCTGAGCCTAAAACACAGTTGATCCATCACTAATGTTGCTCTATCACTAATGTTGCTCTGGGCTACTATCCTGCATGCTTTAGACATTTCTCTGCTTCAAAACCCCAGTTTCTAATGATCAGGATGAACAGACATGCTAAACAGGTCATTCAACCATTAAATCTGGTTTGTCGGAGCAGCATGGTGGCCTGAGGACTGGGATTGGACAACACCGTTGTAATGACACTTAGTTACACCACATACAAACAGCTGAAAAATGCACCTGTATTGCAGGTTTACTTGTTGACACAAATGCATGTAATAAATTCTGTATCATAAGCAAGCCGCACACCTGTTTGCAAGACAAAGAAGTGATGTTTAATATGAAGACGGAAATCAAGGAGGATGTGTTCTACTCTTTTGGCGTAAAGTAAATGTTCGTCTTTCTCCACCCATCAATCTTCTGTCCTCCCCTTTTTTGTTACCTCATTTGTTTTTTAGTCTCTACAGCCTCATTACAACTGGCTGAAGCATTTAGCTTTTACACTGAAATGCTCAAAAATTTTAAAAGAAGATTGCTGCTTAATTCTTTTTTTTTTTTTCTCAGCTCTCTTTTTACACTCTGTCCACGTTTAGGTCACCTGGCCTTTGATCACAATGAGGGTAAAAGATCGCCCTCAGTGTTACTTTGATGTGGAGCTCAACCGTGAGCCAGGTGAGGACATTCTTTGTCAAACGTAAATATGGGGGATTAGGAAAGCTACATGGACAGCACATTTGTACTTAATCTTTACAAAGATGTTTTAACCTTTATGTTTTGTTTTTGAGTCTTTGGAGCTTTTGTTCTGCAAAATGAAAGTGGAACACCTGGTAGTGCATTGGCTTGATAGAGTTGCTTGGTATGAGGAGTGTCTGTACTAAAAAGCTGCATTAGAATGAATTGTTGTGATTTATTTTCAGTATTTATCAAAATAATGAATTTTTTCCGGTTCTTCACTATTGCTGGGTTTCATATGATGTTGCACCCACGTCACCAAATGCAGATGGGGTACGGAAGTAGCCGGTGCTGCA